TGTCTTTCAGGCTCCCCCCCTATGGAATTCTCAAGTAGAGAGATTGTCCACATTTGTAGACAGGTGTTGATAGGCCACAGATGACAAAATCAAGGAAAAACTTATGCAGATAAAAACATCTGTAAAACTGTTACCTATGACGCACTATAGTTGAGCAGTAAAAAATGTTGTTCGGTTAGTAAGAAATTTCACACTTTCACACAGATCCTGTACAGCAGTTTAACTGACACTGTGTTCATCTTTGATGGGGCTGATCACCCCCGCACCATAGTCCCTCACCTGCATATGCTCCTCAGGAGTAAGGGCTGATCTCCAACGATTCAGAAGTTGGGCCACAACACGAAGGGATCTCACCCCCAACCGTGCAGCCAGCCTCTCAGTTCAGGTCAGATCCTGCGGTGTGCACCAGCTGACATAGTGTTGTCACTCCTGAAGAGACCAGGATGCTGGTCAGTGCAGGAGTAGTCGATCCGGTTATGTCTAGATGAGCTCTGTAGACAAGAGGTTCCCCCAAAAGCCAGCGCAAAGCTGTGCAACCCTGTTTTTGCAGAGTAAAAAAAGTCCACAATAAATTGCAGGCAACTCAGCAATGTCTAGTGATTTGGTAGCCATTAAAAACAAAGCTGTGTCCAGTCCTCGTCCTCCCTCTGTATGTAAAATCCTGCAAGCCGCCTCTCTCCATACAAGATCCTTGGGGCCAGTGAAGTCTTTGGATGAACTGGAGGTGAAGGCGGTGGTCCTGCTGGCTAGGTGGATGAGTCCTTGCTCCCCTTCTCTTTAGGCAGATGAAGAGCACCTTGTGGTATCCAGTGCAAGCGATCCCAGAAGAAATCTAAAAACAACACCTGGACATTAGCAGGCAGATTTGGTGGGGGATCAACACAAGCTAATTTGTGCCATAGGGAGGATGCAGCAAGGTTGCTGATAACCAGTACTTGCCCTCGGTAGGACATTTGGGGGAATTACCATTTCCACTTGCTGAACCACCCCTTCACTTTTTCAAGTATATTATCCCATTTTTTCTTGATGTCGTTACTGTCCAAGCAGTTCAGCCAATGCAGCTTTTTTTTTAAGAGCTTCAAAATACCCTTGATTTCCTTAGGACTCTGCTAAACACTGGAGTTGCAGAGCTTTAAGAGATCTGATTATGTCCCTAGTGACTTTGAGAGTGTACTGAGTGACAGAAAACTTTAATTTGTACTTTGGCCATGTCCCACCATTGTTGAAGTGAGTTAAGATGTTTTCAGTGATCTAAAAACATCATACAAAAATGAAAGACTCTTAAAAGGGCATCAATTTAAAGCGTAGTGTTAAAATGCCAGTATGCACTCTGTGGTTTAATGTTACAGATTGAGGGAGAGAGAGAGAGAGAGAGAGGCAGAGAAAGAAAGGAGGAAGGAGGAAGTGTGGTACCTTTTTCACATATGTTACCACTGGAGAGTGATACTGATCACGCAATCATGCGATAAACAGAAAGAAAACGGAAAGCAACTTTCCGTTTAAAGTTTCCGTTCAGATAAGAGGAACTGTTTTTACTGCACTGGATTTCACACAGTGAGTTTATTTAGTATGAATATTCAGTATGAATATAAATGAGTATTGTAATGTAGAATATGCTTGTACAGTTCAAGGTGTTCTGTGTGTTTGTATATATGGATTCTTTAATTCAACTAAGTGAAGGATTAAACTAATGGTAATGCAAGAAAATGGATACTGAACAGGGGTGTCTTCTGGCCTGAGCTTCCGGAGCTACAGCCCTGAAACTTTAACCAGCCCAGAACTTTATAACACTAACTTTTTACATGATTCAGCTCAGCTTGATTACACATCACTCTCATTAGTGCAGCTCTAGACTGCAATATGTTCTGTATTAGTTATTCCTGGTGAATATATTAGTTACTCTTACTTACTGTATTAGTTAACCTTCATTACAGTATTAGTTATTCTTGGTTACAATATTAGTTAATCTTAGTTATTATTTTAGTTAATCATAGTTACTGTATAAATTAACCGGCTACAGCTGTGCTTTGTACTTCTGGTGCAGTGAAGCACTTGTCTATCTCAATTTTTGTGTGACTTCTTTAAAAGTTAATTCAGTGCTTTCCCCTTTACATAACTTATGGCTTTCTACTTTGTAGCACTCCTTTGTTGTTTCTTTAATCTGCTGTAATTAAAGTAACTGGGTTTATGAAAGATATTGTGTTAAAAAAAATAATATTGTTGAGAAAAGCAAACATGACTGAATACAAACATTCAACCTTAATGCCTAAGTGCATACACACTCACACAGTTTTTGGACAAACCACTGTCAACCAGTCTTCCTTAACAGTGAATTATTAACTGTAAAGAATATTAGCTTATTGGTCTGTCCGCTTGATTTATGAAATATTTAAACAGTCACTTTTCGCTTCTCTGTGACATTGAAATGTACTAGCACTCCAGAACTTGACATCATTTTTACTTACTATCCTTTATCGAAAACACAACAATAATGGTGGATAAAGCTGTTTACAAGCCACAGCAGTGAACTAGCCTAAACTGCTTAACAGTTCAAAACCACAACATTTGATTTTGCTGGGCTTCAGGTTACAAACTGCTGCATCTGTTATATTTCGCTACATTGCTAAAACATCAAAAAGAAAGGCACTACATCACAGACCTGTTTTTCGACTCTGCTTTTTGCCTTAACCCTTGGATTGTTTGCCCTTATCGTTTGACCACTGTTTTTGACCTTTTTGCCTGTTTTTTCTACTCTGCCTTTGCCTGCCCCTTTTTGGATTGATTGCCTAGTGTGATGTTTGTCTTTGTGTATTGGTTGTACTTTCTGCATCTGACCCACATTTGTTTTGTGACTACGTACTTGGATATTGTCTTCATCAGTAAAGCCTCATTTGACTCTTTTAACCACGAGTGTCTGACTCCTTCTGGCATGTAACACTCACTGTTTGTCCTCTTCAGCTGTGAGTGGCTACTTGTGTAACATTGGTGAAAATCACATTAGAGTGGTGAGTCAAAGTGTATTAAAAAGTGTTGAAGCCAGGCCAGTGTCACACTGCCCTTCACTATGTTTAACTGGTTTGAACATCTTGCTGTTCTCTTAATCTCGGTCTTGGAGAGGTCTGAAGGGTTACTACTAAACCACTAGTGCACACACACACACACACACACACACATAAGCACACACACACACACACACATACACACACACACACACACACACACACAGAAGGACTGTTATTAATCTCAGACTGTTTTTTATTTATTCAGGAGCTGTATTAGGTGTGATAGCGTGGAGCAGGGCATGAAAAACACAAAAAGTTGGGACGCTGTGCAGAACATGAATAAAAATAGAAATCATTGATATGCAAATCATGTAAACCATATTTTTGAAGGAAAATACTACAAAGACAACACATTAAATGTTGAGACGGAGAAATTGTATTGTTTTTTGAAAAATATGTGCACATTTTGAATTTGAAACCAACTGCTGTAGTTTTGAAAGTGAGATGTTTTCCTGTTTTTGTTTGATATAGGATTTCAGCTGCTCATCAGTTCAGGGTCTCCTTTGTCATATTTTTTCATTTCATAATGTGCCAAATGTTTATAGTGGTGACAGGTCTGGACTGCAGGCAGGCCAGTTTAGCACCCAGAATTTTTTAATAGAGAGCCAAGCTGTTGTAATGCATGCAGAATGTGGTTTGACATTGTCTGGCTGAAATAATCAAGGCCTTCCCTGAAAAAGACGTCATGTGGATGGCAGCATATGTCGCCAGAACATGTATATATCATTCAGCATTAATGGTGCCTTCACAGATGTACATATCATCTATGCCATGTGCATTGATGCACCACTATACCATCATAAATCCTGGCTTTGAACGGTGCACTAATAATAACCTGAGTGGTCTTTAGACCAGAGGACACAGTGTCCATGATTTCCAAAAAGAATTTCAAATGTTGATTTGTCGGACCACAGGACACTTTTCCACTTTGCCTCAGTCCATTTTAAATGAGCTCGGGCCCAGAGAAGGTGGCAGTGTTTCTGGATCCTGTTTATATATGGTTTCTTCTTTGCGTTATAGAGTTGTAACTTGCATTTGTAGACGCAGTGATGAACTGTTTTCACAGACAGTTGTTTTCAGAGGTGTTCCTGAGCCCATGCAGTGATTTCCTCTACAGAATCATGTCTGTTTTTAATGCAATGCCACCTGAGGGCCCAAAGATCATGGCCAGCATATACTGGTTTTCAGCCTTGTCCCTTGCATACAGGGATTTCTCCAGATTCTCTGAATCTTTTAATGTTATTATGTACGGTAGATGATGAAAAGCAAAAGTTATTTGCTGCTTTACATTGAGAAACATTATTCTTGAATTGTTGCATTATTTGCTGGTGCAGTCTTTCATAGAGGGGTAAACCCCTCCTCATCTTTACTTCTGAAAGACTCCGCCTCTCTAGGATTCTCTTTTATACCCAATCAGGTTACTGATCTATTGCCAATCAACCACCAGGTGTTTTTTTTTAGCATTACACAACTTTACCAGCCTTTTGTTGCCCCTGTCTCAACTTTTTTGGAACATGTTGTTGGCAACAAATTCAAAATGGGCAAATATTTTTCAAAAAACAATCAAATTTCTTTGTACTATTTTCAATTAAATATAGGGATTAAATGATCTGCACATCATTGCATTGTTTTTATTTACATTTTGCACTGTGTCCCAACTTTTTTGGAAATGGGGTTGTATTTACATTGTGGAAAAAAAGTGAACTAAGACAAATACAAATAAACACATGTTTGGTTGGCATTTCAGTTACACAGACTGGAATGTGGAGTGTGTTCTGACTGGTTTCTGTATTTCTGGTTAGAAGTCATTAAGAAAAGTAAGATTCAGTTCAGTCTGAACTTCAGAGTTTAAGCAGAGAGAGCGTGTGTACTGACTAAATCATCTAATGTAATCCTTTGTGAAATGTAAAAAATTTCTGCTCTCTTCTGTAGATCTGAAAACTCACACTGCTCAACCTGATGAAGATTTGTTTTTTTTTCGTTACAGACCAAACCCAGAAAAAGGTAAAATTACTTTAATGTTTTTTTTTTCCAGTTTGAAAAAGGCTTTGTGTAAGAATTTAGTTTCTTTTGTCCCTGTCTGATCCCATCTTGACCGCTCTCTATCTGGTTGTTCTCCATCAGAACTTGAGAGTGTGCTACAACAAGAGAAACAGGCACATCGATGTTCAGACACACTCATTTATTTTGGAACAGAAGGGCCTTATTTATACACTTAGAAGCAGACATAGCTGGCAGTTGGTCAGTATAGGGATAATCAAGATTTCTAAGAACAATATGCAGATAAGGTGTGAAATAAACAAGAAACCACAGTTGAACAAGACGTGGCTGCCAAGAAATGTACTTGATGATTAATTTAATGAACTTCTTCATTAAATCTGCTTGTAGAACAGCTTTGTACAAAAAAGATTCTCCTTTTAAGAAAATCCACAGAAGTTCCTTTCAATTTGTGTGTGTCCTGACAGATATTTTACTTAGTAATATATTGTGTATGTATTGTTCACTGCAAAATATTGTTTGAATAATCATATAAAGAACTGATATAAATAAATGACAAATTACTTGGTGAAATTATATCTGGATGAATAATAACAATGAACAATAAAAACTTAAAGGCCAAAGGTTGCATGTCGATAACTAGCAATGTTGTGCTGAAAACTAGTGTTTCTTGTATTGCTGTGATTTAGCCCCTTCTGTAATTTAAGAATAGGTCAACGTGTTTGCATTGAAGTCCCTGTACACTGTTGGAAATAAAGATTCTGTGCAGATACCTTTTTTGTTTGTCAAGATATAAACAAAGCAAATGTTCCCTCAAAGGATCAACAGTGGTTTTAAGGTCCAATTGTGAACCTTGAATACGTTTTTTCCAAGTGAAAGTACATATTTTTACCTTTTCATAACCTAATGGTTTAAAAAAGAACAATAAAATAAAAACCCTGGAGACGAGACGGGGTGTGTGAAGCCAGTACAACTTAGAAAATATCATTTCAGTGGAACTGATAGAAAATTTGATGAAAAGTGTTGAACTTTTGCAAGTGCAGTATAAAATAAAAATTGTCATCATTCAGGCCCTAGTAATAAATAACATCAACTGTCCGTCACTAAACATATACATTGAGTAATTTTTTTTAAAGCAGATTCCTTTAAACAACAAATGGTCTGTTTTTAGAAAGACTTACTGCCACATGTTCCTGCTTTCTTTTTAGTCACCAGAACCCTCTATTATACTTCAGTCTGCTGTCTTCATTTCTAGCTGTATAAGATGGCAACCAATCCAGAAGTGTTGCTGTACACTCTTCAAAACTTTGGGCAAGAGGACCTGAAAACATTCCAGTGGCATCTGATTAATGGTGTAGAAGGATTCACCCCCATCCAAAAGGCTCCTCTGGAGAATGCTAACAGACATGACACTGTGGATCAGATGGTGCAGAGATATGGACACAGCAGAGCTGTAGAGATCACATTGGCTATCCTGAAGAAGATGAACCAGAATCAACTGGCTGAGGAGCTAATGACAAAACTCAAAGACGGTAAAATATGTAGCTACGGGCCACAGTAAGGGGGGGTTCTGAGATTCAGTTTGATATACAAGGTGTCTGGTAGCCTAGGGGTGGGAGAACGTGAGCCATCAACTGGAAGGTTGTGGGTTCAAATCCCACAACTTACTAGGTATACCTGGTTGTGACCTTGGATAAGGTACTTAATGCTCCATTGCCTCAGACTGGTGACGCTGTGCTGCTCCCAGATTGGCATAGTTAGGCAGCAAAATGATGAGTTTTTCTTGTAGGACCAGCAAAGTACATAACATACATAACATAACATAACATAACATGTCCACTGCAGTTATGAATACTACAGCTCTAGGGGTTAATCAGCCCACAGTCATGTATCAGAGGGAGGTGGTTGGAAGAGGTGATGTGTAAGGGTCTCTGTAATCTTACCAGAGCACTTACTGACCATGCTGTTGCACTATTTTGATTGCAAGCTGGAGAATTGGTTTAAACTAATGATCCACCAAAACGAAAAACGAGATAAAACTGAAACTGAAATTCAGGACACACTTGGCCATAAAACCAAAAAACAAAAATATTTTTATGTGTGTTTTTTATGTGTGTTTTAAATTTATGCTTTTTACTAAAAAGTAATTAAAATATAGATAAATCATTATTCACTATTAATCACTATTGAGTCATTTTCACAATATCAGGGTATTAAGCAAGTGATGAAAACTAAATTAGCAATTATTGTATACTGTAAACATACAGACTAGCATTTATAAAACCAGTTCCAAAAAGTTGAGACAGTATGTGAAATACTAATAAAAATCTAAATCACTGATTAGTAAACTGTGTTTGACTTGTATTAAACTGAAAAAAGTATAAACACAATATTTTCTGTTCTACTGTAAGAATTTCACTGTTTTTTGTAAATATGCTCATTCCAAATTTGTTGCCTGTAACATGTTCAAAAAAGTTATGTCAGCTTTCCTTTTAACAGCACTCAATAATGCTTTGGGCACTGAAGCACTGAAGATACAACCTGATCCAGTTTTGACAGCAAATTTTTTTGGCCATTTTTCTCTTCTCTTCTTATACAGCTCTTCAGCTGCACAGCCATATGGGGCCTTCTTTGTTGTATTTTGAGATTAATAATGTGAATCAGAGACAGGTCTGGGCTGCAGGTCAGTCTAGCAACTGCACTCTCTGATTGCACAGCCATGCTGTTGTAACATATGCAGAATGTTGCTTGATGTTGTCAGGTTGAACTAAGCATGGATGTCCCTGAAAGAGATGTCATCAAAAAAGCCTACGTGCTTTCACAGGTGGTACTTTTCTAGATGTGCAAGTCACTTAAACACCCCCGATACTATATCAGATGCTAGATTTTGAACTTTACGCTGACAGCAATCTGAATGGTCCTTTTTTCTTTGGCCTGGAGAACACAACTTCTGTTATTTCCATCAATAATATGAAAGGTTGACTCGACAGAACAAAGTAAATGTTTCCACTGTGCATCAGTTTATTTCTTATGAACTTGAGTCCAGAGAAGTCAGCAGAGTTCTGTTGATATATGGCTTCCACTATGTGTAGTACAGTCTTAACGAGCCATTTGTGGATTCAGTGATGGACAGTGGTTATTAACAACGGTTTGAAAAAAATATTCCTAAGCCCATGCAGTGATATAAATCACAGAAACATGTTGGTTTGAAATGTAGTTCAGTCTGAGGGATCAAAGGTCAAAGACATCCCATTGTGGTTACACACAGATATCTCTCTGGATTCCATGATTTGTTATGTTATTATGCACGATACAGGGTGAAAAAAAATCACTTGCTGAGGAACATTATATTTAAACAGTTGTATTTTTCCTGAAGCATTTTTTGGCAAAGCGGTGAGCCTCGACCCATCCTTTCTCATAAATTCTAGACCTTAACTGGATGCTCCTTTTATATCCATCCAAGTATGATTGCACCACCTGTTTAATATGTTTTGAACATTTCACGACATTCTTAGTCTTAAATTGTCCCAGCTGTGTTGGAATGTGTTGCAAACATCAATTTCAGACTTAGTGTATATTTACAAAGACAGTGAATTTAAAAAGGAATAACATTACATATCTTGTCTTTCTACTGTTTTTCTCCATAAAATCTCCCCGCTCAGTGATGTCTAGTCATTATAAGCTAAAGCAGAGTGCCTGAGTGAAAGTGCATGCAGTGAGCAAAATACATCCTAAACCACTTACTACACATACTATATTACTGAACACGCTTCTAATGGGGGTGTACTATTTTTGACATGCTGTGTAGTATGTTACTATGTGGTTTTAGAAGCAGCCACTCTCTTGCCAGTGCAGCAGGTGGGCAGTGTGTATTTCTGTAGCAGACAGCTAAAGTTTTTGTGTGTTTGGGGGCCGCCATGTGTAATTACAGAATAGCAATGCAGCAGGTGTTTAGAACAGACATGGACTGCAGAGCTAATCTACCACTGCCATGAACTTCACATCCCCAAAATATAATAATAGCTGCTATAGAGTGTTTCAGGGTGTGTTTAGCACAACAGAGTCACAACAGAGTGCTAAAAAAGGCTGAGAACCCCTGGTTTAAAGACACTGTAATTAGCAGACAAGAACTGACTGAAATACATTATAATTGGTATTTTAGAACATAGTGTAAACCCAGAGAATAACTGCTATAGAACAAATAACCTAGAATGAACATGTACTCTTTTTCTGTATATGCTACAATATCACACCCCCCCACCCACCCACCCAACAAAATTCCTCACCCTTGAGGACCACAAAATCTTTGAACTGAGCCGGGGTCCGCCCTCTTCCCCTTGGGTTATAATATCATAATTGTTATTAAGTCAATGGTGGGGTAACTATCACGTACGGTGACTAACCGTGTCACAGTGACATCATACCTCTGAACTTTCAGATTGTGTATAGCACAATAACATCATCCACTCAGAATCGCTATAAAAACAAAGCAGCGCTACAAAAACATAAACATAATGCTAAAGACTAAGCGCTGATCACAGCAGCTACAAATTAATAATTCACTAAAACTGTCATACAGGCTTTACCAACAGTTTGTAAAGGAAAATCACTTCATACATGCACACAGCAGCACATGATAAACTGAATTAACTCTACTGTCATGAACACACTGCGCTCATTAGCAGCCAGAATGAAACTCCTTCTTCTCTAATACAGCCTGTTTTAATAAAAAGTAAAATACCAAACTATTAGAGCTGGAGTTTGCAATGTGTTGGAAGTTGTTTGTGTCAAGGAATTGCCTGTATAATTGAATAAAAGGTACTATATAATAATAAAAAAACATCTAAAATACCTTTAGAGTGGACATAATGTGACAAATGATTCTGGTAACACTTTATTTTAAAGAAAACATATTAGGTTTTTAAGGTGCCATTTTTTGTTCAGTAAAGTCCAAATTAGATGCTTCTAAACGTGTTTTTGCACAGTTTAACACCGTAAATACATTAGTATTATATTAGTGTTATGTTAATGCATTATGACTTTGAAAAATCTTTTAAAATTTCAAAGCATCAAAAATATCTAAATTATTTGAAACTAACTTAAATATTCTAAATTTGCATGTTCATAGCTACAAAAAAATTATTTTTAGAATATGGGACACAAATTGACCTGAAAGAAAACTTGTTTGACATTTTTTTACTTCTAAATAGTGATGACTAAAACTATAGATAGATAGATAAATACAAACTATAACTGTATGGACAGCAGAGTAACCCACTGATAGGTTATCTTTTTAAACGTATACAACCCGGCCAAATGTCCAGGAAAGCTCCAAGTCAATCAAAGGACTAGCACAGACATGTACGAGTCTAAGAGGAACTAAAATTTATTCCCACTGTGAGGAATGAATATGACTGGTAAGCAACGACAAAAAACAAAGCATATTTTGTATTAAGAGCTTAATTTTTTGTTGTGTTTTGGTGGGGTAAAAAAGCCTTTCATCATGTGTTTTGCAAGTTTGATAATTGGTTTTCTTTATTTTTTGTTTAAGAATAATATTTACAAAGAAAGAGTGAAAACTATGATTCAATGAGCTCTAAACTGCTAGAACATAATATTACACTACAATGACTAACCACTGATCAAGTACGAACACTGACTTGTATGATCCAACCAACCGCAAAGGTGGATGGAGGATGGTGCCAAAGAAATGAACCTGCCTAACCAGGTCTTACCCTCACCAAAATACAGTGGGTGGCACTCGCCCCTTACCTGATGTGTCTAAACAATAAAACAACTACTATAAGTATATATATATATATATATATATATATATATATATATATACACACACACACACATATATATATGTATATATATATTTATATATATATATAATGTGTGTGTATATATATATATATATATATATATATATATATATACACTAAATGCTCCCACACACAACTCCTCTCAGGTGGGTCCTTTAATTTGCCAAAACCTTCCCCTCAGCAGACAGCACCGACTTTGATCCGTGGACCAAAGAGCGCTGCCAAGCCTCAGCAATGTCCTCATTGATCCTTCACACACCTGTATAGTAGTTTGGTAGAATGGAAGGGGAGAAAGACACAAAGAGAGAAAAAAAACAAAAAACAAAAAAAAAACGTGCATTGCAAGCATGTAACAATTACTTTTTCGATTTTCCAGTCTACTGTTTGTTCTTCCACTATGTAACTAAAACCATGAAAAGACAAACTGTTGTTTCTTCATTGTGTTTTCTGTAAAATTGATGAGTAAGATTGCAGCATATTTAACTACTTTTTGAAACTAATTATAATTACAAAATAACAGGTTTCCCCTCAAAAATAACATTTTGCGAACGCAGACCACGCCTCGGTAAGTGAGATTATGAGAGGAGGGGAACTCTGAGGAAATTTTGGGCTGGAGTTCCCAACCCCCAACCCCCCTATCAAAGAGGTGGCGTGGACAAAGAGGAGAAAAAGGGGAGGAGGAGGGGTGCGAAATTTCATCACGAGTAGGAGGAGTGAAGGACTGATATTTATAGGAAGCTGAAATTGGGAAGGAGGAGTTTAGGCGTGGTCTTTCCCTCAAACTTCAGTTATGTCATAACTCCATTTTGCGAATGCAGACCACGCCTTGGTAAGTGAGATTATGAGAGGAGGGGAACTCTGAGGAAATTTTGGGCTGGAGTTCACTACGGCTTCTGTGGATCACAAGAAGGCTGACCCCCAAAAAATTCCGGATTAGATGGAGGTCAGCCGTTCATGAGCCTGGAGGAGGTCCTGAATTTTGCGTTTGTATGTAGCCGTGGTAAGCTTGCGAAGACCATCGTCCGAGTAGTTGGACCATATGGTCGGGGAGCCCTTGGTGAGTAGCAGAAGAAGCTGCTCCGATTCTAAAGGAATGCACAGAAAATTGCTCCGGAGGGTAACCTGATAATGAAAGAACTAGGCGTAAGAGTTTGTGGAACCAGCGACGGGAGACCACAGTGACGGTTTCTGTAATGAACAGTGGGTCTGATTGCTGGGCGTTTTGAGAGAGCCTGTTGGAGTTGGAGTAGCTGTGCCAGAGGTTCATATGGGCGCAGATAAGAGTTAATTTTAAATAAGTACAAAGGAATGCTTTTACCAAATTGGTTTGTTTTGCTGTGTTTGATATTGTAGATCATGGTATCTGAGTTTAACATGATGAAGTCTGATAGGCAGGGATGTAGAGCAGGGTTGAAAGCTTCTGTTTGAGCTGTATATTCTGAACATCTCAGGAATCCGAAGAAAGCGAGGAGAAACAGGGCTTCTAATGTAGTGGATAGTTCTTTGGGGAAGACCAGCGCGGAGTATCTGAATGCAGTGGTGGAGGATGTCAGAGGTTAAGGGCAGCTGACATGGTGGAAGGCGAGGTTCATTTCTTTGGATTCCTTTTAGTAAAAGTATAATCTGAGGATGGTTAGCCGTTGTGTGTTGGGTTCCATTGATAAGCTTCGTAAAGAAATTGATCCCGGCTAAATAGACTCTTCAGGTGGAAGAGCGAATGGCTAAATATGAACTGGCAAATGTGAGGTAAGCAGCTGTCGTTGACAGATTGTCTGAAGGGAACGGAATGCTGTGGAGTGCGTGGAAGCGCTGGAAAGATTTCCATCCGGACCAATAGGTCGACAGGGTACGAGGGGCAACCGCGCTTAAGATTATTTCTTGAGCTTGGAGGAGGAGCTGAAAGAACTGCTGGTCAGTTTGAGGATGGAGTCTGAAAATGGAGGAGTCAGTGTCGGATGAGGCTCTGCTTGAGGTGCCAAAGCTTTGAATTTCTGAAATTGAAAACGAGAGAGAGAGTCAGCAATAGCATTCGAATGGCCTGGGATGTGAATGGCTCGAAAAATGAATTGATGTTTGATTGAGTACCAAGTCAGGCGACGTAAGAATGGCATGAGTGTTAGGGATTTAGATCGTCCTTTGTTTATTATATGAACAACAGCGGAGTTGTCGGAGTGGATAAGAATCACTCGTCCTGTCCATTCATGTCCCCAAAGGAGTGCAGCTATGACAACCGGGTAGAGTTCCCACAAGGCAGAGGAATCGCCTGATTCGAATGAAAGCAAAGCAAACTCCGGAGGCCATTGAGAAACGAACGAGCGGCCACCATAGAAGCCGCCAAAGCCTATCAAGGGAGCTGCATCAGTGAATAATTGCAGATCTTCAGGGACTAGGATAGCATCTTCATAGAAGAAAGAGATGCCATTCCAGTGCTGGAGGAGGAATAGCCAGAAGCAGAGTTCCGAGATACATGCATCATCCAAGGAGAGGCGGTGTTGGAGTGAGGGAACCGAGGAGGCTATGCTGAGGAGGTGGGAGATAAAAGAGCATCCTTGAGGTATTATTTGAATTGCGTAATTGAGATGCCCAAGAAGAGAGAGGAGCTGGAGCTTCGAGCATCAGGGCTGCAGCACAAATTCTGACAGGGCAGTAGCAATGTGATCCAGCTTATTGGGTGGAAGGGAAGCCTGGAACAAGACTGAGTCCAGCTGAATGCCAAGGAACTCAAGAGAGGTAGATGGACCCAATGTTTTCTCTGGAGAGAGGGGGATACCGAGATGCTGAAATGCAGAGGAGAGGGTACAGAGGCCATACGCAGGTTGGGAGGAAGGGGGGACAACCACGAGGAACTCATCGAGGAGGTGAAGCACATAGGGTAGTCTGCAAACATTCAGCAAGATCCAACACAAGGCTTCGGCCAGAGTGTCGAAAATCTTGGGGCTGCTCTTGCATCTGAAGGCGAGTCAAACTGCACAATAAAATCTGCCATCCCAGCAAACTCCAAACAGATGCCAAAAATCAGGGTGCAGAGGGAGGATCTTAAAAGCCGAGACAATGTCAGCCTTTGCGAGCCAAGCTCCACGGCTGGCATGCTTGATGAGCGATATAGCATTATCCACAGTAGCATAGTGGAGAGAGAAATCAGAGCTAGGCACGAGGCTGTTGATGGATGGTTCTGAAGAACCATGAGGGACAGACAAATCGATGATGAGTCGTTTCTTGCCGGAGTATTTACAAGTGGCAACGCCAATAGGACTGACACGATAGGTGGAGAAGGGAGCAGAAGCGAAAGGGCCGATCATAAAACCTAATGAAACTTCCTTGGCTAAAAGGGAAGACACAACATCAGGCTCAGACACAGCGGAGAGGAGGTTGCAACACAAAAGGGATGAGGCAGGAAGCACAGCGAGTTGTAAAGATAGGGGCGGGGGCCGCCGTAGGGGCTGAGGGTACGGCAGGTCAGGGAGCAGGAGGAGGCAGAGCAACGAGATTGCAGGAGGAAGCAGGGTGAGATGGGCAACCGCAGAGCTCACAGGAGAGAGCAGTCCGACCAGCAAAAACGCGACAGTAGAGGTAGCCCCAATATGTAGACATGTTCCACTGCTGAAGACGGGCAGATGCACGGGCTGAGAACAGACAATGGTAATCGTAGAAACCTGACCCTCCAAATCGAACGGCGAGGTCCAAGATGATAGAAAGATAGTCATCCAGTTCCTGGCGCCGCGATGGGAGGCTGAACAGAGGACATCACGGTAGATGGAAAAGGCGAGTGCGAACTCAGGAGTGGTGAGGACCTTAGAGGTGTGAGGATCGGCACACTTAAGGGTAAGAGAAACATCGCCAGTGTCAATGGTACGGGGAGCACACGAGGCAGCGGAGGGGTGAAGTAATGAGGGGAGACTGACATCTGCACCTTGGAGGATCTACGCACGCAGGGCAGAAGAGACAAGAGGTGGATTGAAGAGGCGGGCATCGCTGGGTGGGACAGCAGGAGGAGCGGTGTACAGGGAAAACGAGGAGTCGGCGAGGAGGGGCCGAGGCTGGGCTGGCAGTGACTGCGACTGGAGACCTGGAATGGGATGACAAAACGAGGCAGAAGAGCAAGCAGGGAATGTCATGAAAGATGGAGGAAATGCGTACGAAGAAAAGGGGAGGGGCTGGGATGATGAGGGAACAGGGAGGGATGATGAAGGGAAGGGGAGGGATGATAAGGGGAGGGAATGGGATGATAAAGGGAGGGGATGGGATGATAAAGGAGGAAGCTGAGAAGAAGAAAGAAGAGACATAGCCAAAGGTGGGGCAGAAAAAGGTTGGGAAAATATAGGGGGAGAGAGACGAGAAAAAACAGAAGCAAGGCATGCAATGGGGGCGACGACAGTGCTGGCTGGGCCAGCAACGGAGGCAAGCTGCCTGGTAGCAGGGCCGGGACATCCAGCAGAGGGTGGCACTTCAGACGAGGGGGCGTCCTGGGAGTCGGTGACGTCATCACGCGCCGGGGCCGTGGGGAAGGTGACGCAATCAGGCTGCGCCTTAGCAGCGGAAGGCAGGCACTGTTTACTCCCGAGAGACTGCACGTACAGGGAAAAAAGCTCTGCCTTAGGTGCCGTGCGGGCGAAAGGAATGCGCCGGTCCCTAAGGACCTTCTGCAGTTTAGCAACGGTCCAATTGGAGATAGATGGAGGTCTAGATTAAGAACAGGAGGGGCGCGGAAACGCCGGATCCGGGGGAGCCTCTCGACGGTTGTGTCGCGTGCGCGAAGACCGCATCGGAGTGGGCGGTGGATCCGGGTGCGCGCCGTACGAGAGCCGGCGAGGCGAGACGAGGAGCCGGAGGAAGCCAAGGCAGCAGGCGTGTTGGGAACCGCGATGACGGACTTGAGCCTGGGTGCAGGACGCGCGGATCCCTGGGAGGAAAGATGCTGGCTTTCTCCAAAGAGGTCATCATCGGAAGCGACAATGTCGAGGTCCATGACGACGAGCTGATAGCAGGTAGCAGCACAAAGCCGGGTCGGTGCGAAATTTCGTCACGAGTAGGAGTGAAGGACTGGTATTTATAGGAAGCTGAAATCGGGAAGGAGAAGTTTAGGCGTGGTCTTTTCTCAAACTTCAGTTATGTCATAACTCCATATAATGCATCCTGACCTGACTACATATAGGCTGTGTCACAATCTGAACATTACTGCATTAAATTGTAAAAGCACCATTGATTGTGTATTAATTTGACATGATATTTTGTACAGTATATGTGGTTTGAGACACAGACCACATCTTCCCTGCATGTGAGTGAGAGAGACAGAAAGAGTGCAAGAGGGGGGCATGATGACAGGACTGGAACTGCACTTCATCTGCTTCAGTTGATGGAATGTAGTTATGTTATAACTGAAGTTTGAGGGGAGGAGCATGGCTTAAACCCCTCCTTCTTTCAATCCAATGCTCTATAAATTCACATCCTCACCTTCCGTTCCTGTGATGCTGGTGTAGCTGCGAGCCACTCTGGCACCCTGCACCCTCTCTGCGAGCCACTCTGGCACTCTGCACCCTTCTTCCATGCTGTTGTGTTCCACTCTGTCTCAGCTCAGGGCGGAGGTAAACAAACCTGCTTTTGGCGCCACTGTTTGACCCTCAGCTTGCGCGGTTGCGCACACCACGTGACTGCGCCACGCTCACCCTGTGTGATGTTGTCATGATGCCTACGCATATTCTCCATGACGTCGTCACCCCTTCGCGCCGTTCCAACCCGCTCCACTAGCCACCGGTTCTCCTCTCTTGCCCATGTCTTTTCACCTCCCTTGTATTCCCCTCTTTTCTCTCTAGCATGAGGCCAAACTTCCTGTCCCTTATCACGTCTTGCATCTACTCAGCTGGACGCAATGCATTATTTTGTTAAGCCTTTTTCGCTGTTCGTACATCTGTTTTCCTGCTTCCTGCATACTTTGCTAGTTTTATTCTGCTGTGTATGTTCTTAATGGGGACCCTCTCATTCAATCCTATTGTATTGTCCTCACTGCCAATGTAATGTAATGTGGATAGAGCCACTTAATTTCCTTATCCTCTGTTCCATGTAGTGTTACGTTATTTAATGTTACATGCTCAATCTACTGATCCAAGCACCTCTTTCTTTCTATGGGATTTTTTTCCCATCACACTTCCACCCGTTTTCATCCCTTCCCTTTATCATCCAACCCCCTCCCTTTTTCATTCCTCCCCTTCCCTCATCATCCCAGTCTCTCTCTCTCTCTCTCTCTGCATCACGCACTTTCACTTTTCTCCCTTCTGACACTACATGGCTCTGTCTCAGCCCACTCAGGCCATCTTCAGTCGGCTCCTGTAACCCAGCTCCGTCTCAGTCCACTCCATCTCGGCACGCTCCATCTTGGATCAGCTCCTGCAACCCAGCTCTGCAACTCCCTTCTCATTTCAAGTTCAACTCCTTCTTGGATCAGCTCTGCTGTGTCTCAGCTCTGCGACTCCTCGCTCCACTCAGCTGCATCTTGGATTGGCATCATCTCAAATCAGCTCCTGCAACTCAGCTCTGCAACTCCCTTCTTGTGTTCAACTGTGACGTGTCTCAGCTTTGCTACTCATCTCTCCACTTGGCTCCATCTTGGATCGGCTCCAGCAACCCAGCTCTGCAACTCTTTTCTGCCTTATCATGGCTCCATCTCATCCTGGCTTTAACTCAAGTTCAACTCCTTGTTCAGCTGCCTCAGCTCTGCAACTCCTCACTCCATCTCGAATCGGTTCCTGCACAACTCTGCTCTGCAGCTTTTTTTCTGTCTTGACTTTGCTCCATCTTGGATCAGCTCCCTTACAATCAGCTTTACAACTTGTTTCGGATTCCACTTGGCTCCATCTCTGATTAGCTCCTATGCAGCTCAGTCCTGCATCTGGTTTCTGGCTTCACTCAAGTCCGTCTCAGATCAGCTCCATCTCAGATCAGCTCATACATTCCTTAGTTCTGCAACTCATTTCTGACTCAACTTTGTTCCATCTCAGATCAGCTCCAGTACAACAGCTCCGCAACTCACTTCTGTCTTCTGTTGGATTCAATTCAAATTCGAAGTGATCAAGTGATTCTCATCCAATGTTGTAACTGAACAAACGTACTGTTGCCAACAGGATTTTCCATGCCAAACTACCTCCCGCAGTGGCCAGATAATCATCCAGTTGCCTTAGTCATCAAGCCCTTCAACCCTCGTATGGACTGGCTACCTCCAACAGCCATTCCTGCTTTATGTTTATTTCATTCAGGATGTAATCTGCTTTATCATCATGCCAACCTATTTGCCTACCATATTTAACACAATCTTCACAATCCCGTGTCGATCAGAGGAGGATGGGTTCCCCTGTTGAGTCCTGGTTCCTCTCAAGGTTTCTTCCTCACTGGGAGTTTTTCCTTGCCACTGTCGCCCCTTGGCTTGTTCATCAGGGGTTCAGACCCGGATGTCTGTTAAGCAGCATGCCACCGAGTCACACAATCAAATTCAAAAATCAAACTCTGCAAATCAAAATCTGCTCCATTTTTCTTCCCATCTTACATCCTTGATAGCAACCACTTACTCCAACACCATACAAGGGGCCTGTGTTACTAGACCTCTTTTCTGCCTAGACTAAACTTCTCTACCTAACCATACTATGCCTCAGATACACAAATACTAGACTATCTGACCAATCTCATTGTGAATCCAGCTTCTCCATATACCGCTGGCATAGTCTTATCAAGTTTTCTATCCAAGCTGCTACAGCTGTTATTTCAGAACCATCTTTTCTCTTCATTCGATAATCGCTCAGTCCTAAACCTTGACAGCTTTTGAGGTCATCTTGGAGCCTTTTTGGGGATCTGGCCTTTTAGCTACAGGCAGAAGGTGCCCAGAACTCAAGCCCAAGTTCTCAGAGTTCTCCCCCCTCTCTCACTCAATTATCCCTCATACTACCACCACATGTTGAAGACATGGTCCGAACTCACAACTGCACTTAGAAAGAGACCTGACATTTAGCACAGTTGGTCACTTAGTGCTAGCCACCTCAGAAAATCTGTGAGTGACTGACTGACTGACAGACAAAGATAAATAAATAGAGAAAGAGAGAAATGTATGTATGACTCAAATACTCATGAACATAATGGAATGTCGTATGCTTTATGTTAGTGCTGGTTATGGAGATGACTACAGAGAAAAAGCCTTGATGTAGAAGAGTGATGCTACTCATGAATGACACAATATAATATAAAATAGGTTCTCTTTCAAACAGATAAACAGTATTCATTGAAATATCAGATATTACAACAGTAACTATGGTTAAAATACTCCCTTAATTCCAAGTTCTTTTTATCAGCAAAAGTAGCAATGGCCATCATAAAATCATAATCATAATCAAAAAATCGCAACACAAATCAGCTAAATGATTGAAAGAAATCTGCTGATTTCTGCATGATCCTCTGTGTCCTACATGTGACTGTGTTTTCTCTGTTCAGCAGAAGAAGCTTACAAGAGTGAAGGGATATTTACAACAAAGTTTCTACTGACTCAGCTAAATAATAATTACTAAGACAGTTTTTTTTTCTGTTTTCTATTTCTCCTGTCTGCCCTCAGGTTCAGAAAAAAGTGAAGAGGTAACTGGTAAGAATACCACAGCCTCCTCCACTGCAGCTCAGACTGGAGACTCAGTTAGTGCTCTCACTGCAGGTAAACTCAGCTCATCACCACTGTCACATTTAATACTGCATTACAGTGAAAATCTGTTTCAGCTTGAACACCATGGTCTGCATATTGTATTAGCAGTGGGGCGGGGAAATGTCTGCGATGCAGACATGGACAATTCTGAATCGATTCACAAATGTCAAAAATTTATTTTCTAATTTTTCATTGATAACGTCATGTTGACGGAACGCAAAAGGGGAAACTTTGATGGGTGGTGTGGCGTGCACATAACAAATCTGACCAGCACCTTCTGCATTAAAAGCTGGTGTATGGAAGCACTTTGAAGGGAAAAGGACCTGGACAGCCACACTATATGCAAGTTGGGTCACATTAAACTACAATGTTTTGGAAACAGGACAAACATGAGAAACCATATTACATGTTTCCTTGACCTCCCAGTCCTGGTGCCTAGCCACGTTAACCATGTTAGTATAAACTTTGGGGTCCACCTGGGCCGCACTGCCATGAGGAGCTTAGAAGATGCGACGATGTAAAGTGGCTCTCAGACGGCGCTGTGCTCCCGGTTTAGAAAGCGACTGTACTTATCGCTGTTGTTGCCGATGTGGATGTTATCAGTGTAGTTTTGTTGCTTGGTGTAAATTGTTTTTGAGTAGAGTTGCAGTTAAGCAGTAGGTAGAAGTGTCTACTCTCCTTGTATGTTATGTCCTCCTGCATTACACCCCCCTTGTGTTTCATGTTGGGTTAGTGTTTCTTGGATGTTGAAGTACCGGTTCAAAATAAAAGAGCATTTTTATCTGCCTCTTCTTCTACACTGATGATTACTTTTAGTATGTACTTCAAACATTTATTTAAATGTCATAGTTCTATGAAGCAATACCTCACACAGAAGAAAGAAATCAGGTAGTTCACAAAGAGCATTTACACAAAAATTGTTTATTGTCTTTAACTGTGTGGGTGCAGCTTTGTTCAACAATTGAGTTTGCTCCATTTTCTAAACTGCTTATCCTTCTGGGTCGTGGGGGGATGCTGGAGCCTATACCAGCAGTCATTGGGCGGAAGGCAGGATACACCCTGGACAGGTTGTCAGTCCATTGCAGGGGTCATGTAAACAGCATATTCCAATTTCTTAAGATTAAGGCCTGGAAATCCAATAAAGAGAGCTGGATTTTAGCTCAGTAATGGGGGTATTCAGTGTGTGTAAACCTTCACTCTGATTTGTTTAACACAGCACCCGCAAGACGGCAACAAAACACTTTTGGAGCAACACTAATACCAACTACATACTTGAAATTAAGGACTGAAATATTCTTCATTTCTAGATGATACATAAATATACATGAAGTGACTGACTTGATGTTAAAAAAAAAAAACTGTAACGTTTGAGATATACATCACATTTATGTCACGTCTTCTTCTGTGAGTTTATTGGCGAGTTGCAAAGTGCAAAGCAGAAGTCTGATTTTTGTCTAACTCATGTAGACCTGGAGTTTCCTATTATCTGATTACTTGAGTGCATGTAAACGTGGAGAACGAATTAATAACAAAATCTGATTTTCTGCTGTTATCATATTATTAAGGGCTTGTAAACACACTCATTGTTAGTATCTGCAACATCTCATAAACACACATTATCTAGGCCTTACAGATATGCTTCTATCTATGCTTATCCTCCTGGGTTGCAGGGGGAGCTGGAGCCTATCCCAGCAGTCACTGGTCAGAAGGCAGGAAACACCCTGGACAGATCCTCAGTCCATCGCAGGGCAGACACACAGACATGCATTTTTGTATCTCTAATTGGCCTGACTGCATGTCTTAGGGCTGTGAGAGGAGCACCCATAGGAAACCCACACAGACACAGGGAGAACATGCAAACCCCACACAAAAAGGACCCTGGTCGCTAGGCTGGGGAATCGAACCCAGGCCCTTCTTGCTGAGAGGCAACAGCGCTACCCACTGTACTACCCATAAAAATGACAGCCCAATAAATAAAGCCATCAACAAAGCCACTGATAAACAATATCAAGTTAACACCCTAAACAAAGTATTGTTCCAATAAATCAATGACAGGCATTAAACAAAATTATGAATCATTTGTGTCATACTGAGAATTCTGTTGGGCCAGAATAAAGTCAAAAAATCCACAAATGTCAAAATCGAAAAAAGAATGTTTAGACAAATATATGTTTTCTTATAATGGAGAAAAATAATAAATCACTCAAAAAGATAACAAAAATGATTACTGATTTAAAATGAAAAGAAAATGCATGAATAAACCAAGAAAACAGCCTAACCTTCACTCTCTGTGAGCCAAACTACACTGAGCTTGACTGGCAGTGTTCCCTAAATTAGCCTTTTTGTACCAGTAGGTTGGACCACTGGACGATGGCGTTTAAGCCAATACCATTGGAGCATTCTAATCTTATTAGAACAAGATATTATGTACTTTACTAATCTTTTTACTGACTGTTAATGTTTATGTGTCAGTTGCTCATGAGAATAGTTGACAAACCTTAGTGTCACTGTGTTCTTTAAGATAAACCATGCTTAAATGAAATAGAGAATCTCACAGGACAAATCATAAGGATAGTCACGTAGACATACAAATCAATCAATGAAACAATAAATAATTCATGAAAGAAAGTGACAGTAGATGGTTGCTTTGACATTTCTGTGTAACATATTTAAGCTATTTTAATAAAGGAACATTGTCAGCATCAGTTTCACAGACCACTGATGATTATTCAGCAAAGTTAACACAAGCTGACCTTTTTATTTTTTGCATTTTAAAATAAATAGAAAACATTCTATTCTATCAGGTTATCAGGTCTCACTTTTACAGGTCTTACAGGCACATAATATCATATTTTGTGTTTCAAATTCAAAGAATAGAATATGCAGGTGCGTAAAATATTTGCTTACTCTAGACCTTTTTTAATGTTGTGTTACAAAAGCTATTTGTCTTTTTCTTGTATTTATCTGCCAATAAATCCCTACATATTTGAGAACAAGTAACAAGTGGGTTGGAGTATCCAACAAGGACTTCTTCTTCTGGCTAATTTGTGCCACTGGCTCATGATGCAGTCATATATAATAAAGTGAAGTATAAGACAATGCAGTTATGTTGTTTCATGTTTGTCTTTGTAATGATGACAAACACTTCGTAGGCTAATTGCAGTAACTCTAACTCTTGATAAGCTGATTTACCTCTTAAGAAATACCTTGTTTCTTATTTCTTTCACAGAAGATCAACAGCACTGCAAGTCCACCCTCAGGCAGCTGTATGAAAGTGTACTAATTGGGAATTCAAAAACAGGCCATGCAAGGTTCTTGGAGGATATCTACACTGATCTCATTGTAGTGCGGAATGAAAGTGGAGGAGTCATTCACGAACATGAAGTGATGCAAATGGAAATGTCCCCTAACCGACCTTCTGGTGAGGAAGTTTGTGTCAAATGCAGTGACCTTTTCAAGGTCCAGCCTGGTACCAGTAGAAGGAACAGAAAAGTGTTGACAATGGGAATTGCTGGAGTGGGCAAAACTGTGTCAGTGCATAAATTCATACTCGACTGGACGAAGGGAGAAGAGAATCAGGACATAAACTACATTTTTCCTCTTCCCTTCCGTGAACTGAATCTGAAGAAAGATAAGAAGGTCAGTTTGATTGAACTACTGAATCATTGTTTTTTTTCTTCAAAAGCTGAACTGAAGTCTCTTGCAGAAGATGATGGTAAAATTTTGTTTATCTTCGATGGACTGGATGAGTGCCGCTTTCCTCTTTACTTTGAGGATGGAGAGGAAGTCAAAGATATCCATAAGAAGACCTCAGTAGGATCACTGATCACAAATCTTATCAACAGAAATCTGCTTCCCTTTGCTCTAATCTGGATAACGTGCCGACCAGCAGCCGCCCATCTGATTCCCCGGGACTACATCAGTCTGGTGACAGAAGTGCGAGGATTCAGTGATGAACAAAAGGAGGCATATTTCAGCAAATACTGTAATGAGGATATGGCAATGAAAATTGTTTCACACATAAAGAAATCAAGGAGTCTCCACATCATGTGTCAAATCCCAGTGTTCTGCTGGATCTCTGCCACTGTGCTTCAGTCTCTGATGGGTCAAGACAGCAATAAGGAAATCCCCACAACCCTGACAGGAATGTACATAAACTTCCTATTGCAGCAGAAAAACTTAATGAAAAAGAAATACAGTGAGATGACCACAACTGTTGATGCTGAGCACATCATTCTGAAGCTTGGTGAACTGGCCTTCTGTAATCTTGAGAGTGGTGCGCTGAATTTCTATGAAGATGATCTCAAGAAATGTGGTATTGATTTCAGTGATGGCACTGTGTTCTCAGGAGTGTGCACACAGATTTTCAGTCAGCAGGAGGGAGTTTCTGAGAAGAATGTTTTCAGCTTTGTGCATCTGAGTGTTCAGGAAAGCCTTGCAGCTTTATATGTGCATCACTCACACTACAACAAGAAAAGGAATGCATTCAAAAAGGGGACATTCTGGAACAAGTTTAAATGGAGGAAAAAGAGAATAACAGATCTTCATAAGAGTGCAGTGGAAAGAGCTTTGCAGAGTGAAAATGGACACCTAGACCTTTTCCTCCGTTTCCTCCTTGGCCTCTCACTGGAGGACAGTCACGGTGTCCTAACTGAACTTCTGCCGAATCTGAAGATCAAAGCAGAGAGTGACAGTGGCACAGCTGACTATATCAAGAAAAAACTCCATGAGGAAATATCATCTGACAGAAGCATGAATCTCCTCCACTGCCTGAGTGAACTGAAAGACAATTCACTGATGACTGAAATCCAGAAACACCTGACCTCAGGAGATCTCACAAAACAAGAACTCTCATCCACACAGTGGTCAGCTCTGGTGTTTGTGTTGCTGATGTCAGAGGAGACTCAAGAAAAGTTTGAGCTAAAGAAATACAGGCCTTCAGAGGAAGGACTGAGCAGACTACTGCCAATGGTGAAAAACACAAGACGAGCTCTGTGAGTCAAACTTCCATTTAAATATTTTAAACATTGTAAAAGAAGTTCAAAAACCAACCATAATTCATATATGACTAAGCTGCAGCTTAAGCTTACATGCTTTTATTTTAAATGGCTCAAGTGCTGATCCAATTCAGAAAATAAATTTATGAAATGAATAATTCACCTCTAAATAATTTATATACACTGCAGTAATTTTGGTTTATGGTAGGGTTGTATGTATCTCTAATAGATACTAATAGCTGCAAGCTAATAAAAATCTAAAAACCTCAGTGGGTAGAATTTCATGTTATGGTACAGTAAGAATCTGGTATTTTTCTTTTATGGTACAGTGAACACCTGGTATCTAATAAGTAAATGAGTAGTATTATTTAATTTTTGGTACATACTTTGCAAGTACATAGTAATTTATATGAAATAGCCAGGCATGTACGGTAGTAAGTACTGACAGAATAAAATAATTATTTGGAAATGAATAAGTAATTATGTAGTTTTTACAGGCAATATTTAGAGGACACTTCACAAGTACACAATAACTATTGTGAAATTTACTAGATAATCCTAGGTAAATATAGCTTTTATAAAACAGTAAATAAATAAAGTACTAAATTAATAAAATGGGCTGTGAACGCGGCGTTTAATGTTTTAATGTTTGCAGTTCCTTCTGCCAAATTGTAGTTCCTGAACAAGCAGCTTGTTGCTATGTCAGCGTAACGAACTCTGCCCACTCACTGCACAGCCGGGATTTTGTTCTCCAGCTCCTTACATTAAATTCCTAAACTGTCATGACCACTGAGCAGCTTTTCATTCGGCAGCTGTGACAGAAGAACAGCTGAACAGCGAATCAGCCCAAAATGAACCCAATACCATTCGCCGAACGTGTAGTCTGATCTTCAGAGTCTGACCAAATCTGACTGAGCCATAAAACTGACACACTATCAAGTTTAGCTCAGTGTTGTAATTTTTATCAGATCAAAATTAATGTTGTTTAGTCTGTAAAGCATCTTACAGCCCATTTTGTCTGGCAAATGGTATTCTGTTCATTTCTGGCTAGTTCCATGTTGCTTAGGTGTTCTTCTGTCAAGCAAACCACTTTCTGCTCAGGGGTCTCCATCTCCTCGCAGACTGAAGGAACCATCTTCCGGTGACAGAAACTTTATGACCCCTTCTTTCAAATGGTATGTGACTGGTTCCTAGGCATCTCACGGTTGTAAAAATATGGCACTTTGAAATCAGATAAACCTTTTTGAATCACCTGTATTAAAGTGCTGAGTGCAGCAGCAGTTAAAGGATATATAGTGTCAAAAAATGATAAGTGAGGTAACAGTCAGATTAAAAGGGGGTAATAAGGCAGGTAAGTGAGGTGCTAGAAGAAAATGCTGGTTATGCTTGGCATTAAAACAGGGCTTGCCATTGTTATATTTAATGAGAGTCCTGGTGGGAAAAAGGTTTACAGTTGATAAAAAGTGGTTCCAGGTTAGGACTGCATGTTTTTGTTAACACGGTGACATCTGTACACCAGCCTTGATTGATAGAAAAACAGATTCCACCACCTGTTTTCTTGCCTGAGGCTCTGTGGAGCGGTCTGCTCTGTAGAGGTTAAAGCTGTGGAGCTGGAGCATGCTCTCTGGGGTAGACAGATTGGAACTGCATTCTTGAATTCATTTACACATGTTCAAAACAAAACCAAATTGAAGGACTAAGCAACCACACTACACTCAAGACTTATCTACACTGAATATGCATCTAGGATGAGGACTTTTAATTGGCTAATACAAAGCACAAGGATCAATAACAGAACCTAATACTGCAACATACCATCTTTAAGAGGGGCCTACACACAGTTGTTAATGGCATTTTCAACAATGACAGTAAGATGGAAAGTGTGCTGAGAATACAAACCTTGAAAAAATTGGGACATTTTGTAAAACACAATACAAAAAAAGAACCTGTGATTTGTTAATTTTCTTAAACTTTTATTTAACTGACAAAAGTACAAAGAATTATTTTTTGGGTGACCAACTTAATTGTATTTGTGAACATAAACAAAATTCGAATTTGATGCCTGAAACACACACAAAAAAAACCATTAAAACCTTAAAAAGGCGGTTCATGCTCAGAAACCCTCCGATGTGGCTGAATTACAACAATTCTACAAAGATGAGTGGGCCAAAATTCCTCCACAACGCTGTAAAAGACTCATTGCCAGTTATCGCAAACGCTTGATTGCAGTTGTTGCTGCTAAGGGTGGCCCAACCAGTTATTGGGTTTAGGGGGCCATCACTTTTTCACACAGGGCCCTGTCGGTTTGGATTTCTTTTTCCCTTAATAATAAAGATCTTCATTTAGAAACTGCATTTTGTGTTTACTTGTGTTATCTTTGTCTAATATTTAAATTTGTTTGGTGATCTGAAACATTTAAGTGTGACAAACATGCAAAAAAATAAGAAATCAGGAAGGGGCAAACACTTTTTCACACCACTGTAAATATTTGCTGTATTTATCAGGAATGATAGCTTTATGACCGAATGGGGTACCCTCTTGATTTAAAATGCCAACACTTCTCACCTTAAGTCCAAAGTCTGAATGATATAACTGACCTGTCTGCTTTTAAGCTTCACATGCATGTTTATCCAAGGAGTTTCCTGGAGGAAAATATCAGACCCTTTATTTCTTGTTGCTACAGTATTCTAATATATTTCTTACTCTAATCACCCCATTATTTTAACAATATGTTAAGATTTTAGCTGAATTATTCAAACATGATATTCAAAACATTGTTAATCTCCTTTTGCTTGTATTGTAAGAGCTATTGTATTATCTTTTCCTTTGCAGGCTAGCTTTTTGTAATCTTGGAAAAAAGGCTTGTGAAAATCTGCAATCAGTTTTAACACTGGAAACCTCTTCCCTGAAAGAGCTGGACATCAGTAACAATGACCTCCAAGATTCAGGAGTGGAGGTCCTCTCTGCTGGACTGAAGAGTTCACACTGTCAACTGGAGATTCTGAGGCAGGATTTCTCTTAGCTAATGGAATGATAAATGTTGACATTTATTGTTTGAAAAGAAATGAATATAAAGTGTGGGGGCAATCGACCTTCTAACAAACACAACGGCTCACCTCTGAGTCTGGCTACCAACTAGAACACAGAATAATTAAATAGCTAGAACAAGTCCATAATCTGATGACCTAACCTGAAATACGTTACTTGACCTTTTCTGATCTCACATTTGGCCAGGTTTACCAGCAACTGAGCACTCTTTAGTCTTTCAAATGACTGACAGAGATGATCTACATTCTCCTGCCAGGAACCACTACACACCACTACATCATCAATATGTGAGCACATTGCTCTGTCCAGCAGTGATTTTATTCATTAAGCGTTGGAAGGTAGCTGGTGCATTTTTTCATTCCAAATTGCCGAACTTTGCACATATTAAAAGCTGAACCTTGCACATATATAAAGCATCAAAAAGCACAAATAACTTGTGCCTGCTTTGACAGTGGCACTTGACAAGATCCCTTTAAGAGATCTAGCTTCATCTCATACTGTGCTCTACCTGTTCTATCAATGCAATCTTCCAATGTTGGGAAATGCAGTGGCCTTTACTTGGTTTATTCTTAAATAGTTTATACAAAAAGAGTGCAGAATCAGCCTTTGTAACAAGTACCACTGATGAACTCCACTCACTCTGCATTTGCTCAACCCCATCATATATGAGGGAAGCAAGCCCTTCCCTCAGCCTACTCAACTTAGTAGGGGACAACCTGTATGGATGTCGTTTAATAGCAGTAACTTCGCCAGTCTCAAGATCATGAGTCACCAATGGGGTACACTCCAGCTCATCCTGGAACAGCTCACCATGACTAAGGATGATAAACTGATGGTGTGAAATGGTTATTATGCTGTTCAAACATAACTTCCAGGAATAGAGCAGACACAACATTTGATCCCTATATTGACTGCACCTTTTCAGGCAGCAAGGAAAGGTTAGCTAGGACATCAATAATGGTTTTAGCCTTAATATTTCTCAGAGGCACAGCTTCTGGATAGTGTGTAGTCATATCCATGATGGTTAAAATATACTGTATGTATTGTCCTTCTTAGTTTCTTGTAAAGTACACACAGAATCAATTAAAACTCTTGAAAGCAACTCCTCAACCACTGGAGGAGGGAAACAAAGGAGGCACTGGTAGCTTTTGATTGGGCTTTAGCAACTTCTGACACATCAGACAAGTACAACAAAACCCCACTACATCCCTTTGGAGCTTAGGCCAGCAGAAATGCTTTGTAATCCTTTTTTGAGTCTTTGTAATGCCTGCACGCCCAGCTACAGAAGTTTTATGGGCCCAACGCATCACCTTTGCATGAAAACACTGTGGCCCCACCACCTGATCCACTAATACCTTAGTCCTCAACTCAGGCTGGCCCAAGGCTCTCCATTTCCACATGAGTACATCATCTTGCTCATAAAAACTGTCTGCCATTTCTCTGCTCTCCTCAAATGAAGCTGCAGTTTTTCTGAAAGAAGCCAAAACTGAGTTTTTCTTTTGCTCCTTAATTAAACCTTTTCATGTGAACTCTGAGCTTTCAATGCTCCCAAATAAGTTAGCAACAAATGTATTTTCCAGCTCTATTTCTGTATTTGCCTTGTTCCATATGTAAAATGGGGGAAAACCAAATTGATAAGACACTTTCACTGTAATACATTGATTAGTTTATTCTCCTTTTCCTTTTACTGCTCTCTTGTCCATTTCTCTTTGATTTAGAGCCATTGTCTTTTTTTTCTTTTCTGTTACAGCTCCCTTTCTCTTTTTCTCCTTGCTTTGGAACAGTGTCTCTTTTTTTCTCTTACCTCGTAACTTTTCTCGTTTCTCTGTGTTTCGTACTGTTACCAGCTACCCCTCAACAAAAGTCCAGCATTTTCCCAGAGTGTCTCTGGGGTTTAAATAGGTGCTCCTCCAGCTGTGTTGTATTAAGGCAGTAAGTCCAGAGCTTTCTGGGAATTGGAGTCCTTGAAAAGGTTGCCCTAGACGAGTGCCGCTGCTGCCCTCTGCTGACAGCAGGTGGCAATGAGTGCCTCCTTAGACTGGTTAAACTTAGCAAATGACTCTGAATTACATCCTGACCAAGAAACTCCAACTTCACATTTGTCCATTTTCCCCAAAGCCAAAAGGAAAGGACAGTGAGAAGCCTATATCATAGCGCACACACAACCCTGCTAAATACTAAGAAAGCCTAAGGTCACAAAAATAATCCTCAAAAGCACCATCCAGTGTAGGACTTGATTTGTCTCCAAAATGTGATTGTATTATGAGTCACAACACTGTGACTATAAAGACATTTATCTCATTTAACTGGAGAAAAAAGTATGGCTCCAGTGTCATAAGGTGAACAGTGAAGTTGCTAAAATATTGGCATGTTTTGAAAGAGAGAATAATTGTGGGAGGAATGTTATTTTATAGCATTAATTTGACTGATTAAGGAAAAAGACAGGGAGTCCCATATTCAATGTTTGATTTAAACCTGGCCATAAGGCTAGAAAATTGGCTTGAACAGTGAACGAGATTGTTAAGTACCCATAGTTCTCAAGTAGGTGAGTTGTTCTAAAGCTATCTTAAAAGGGAATTGCTAAAGCTCTGCTATATTCTGAACTTTAGTTGGAATTATTTCACTTTTGGTCCATTTTGTTCAATAATCTGAGAAAGTACCAAAATGCATGATCAACTCTAGTAGTTTATGGATAGAGGACTGAGGTTTGGAAATATATAATAATTATTGGTGAATAATTAGATTTTATTAAGTGTATCTTGCAAGCTGTAGCAATGAATTGAACAATCTGCATGTATGCTTTCCGCCAAAGGCTCCAAGGCCAAGACAAGAGCCAAAGGAAACAGGACGTAGCTTTGGCTCTGTACAAACTGAAAAAGGGGAAAACTTCATTAGTGATGATCTAGACACATGAGTTTTGATTAAGATCTTAATCTGAGAAAAACACCTTTCACCAAAATTGAATGTATTTAAAACTGTGCTGACACTTTATTTTGAGTGGTCCTTTTTAACACTCAGCAGACTCTCAGTAACATGTCAAAAACATATGAGGGTTAGCATTAGGTTTTGGGTTGAGTGTAAGATTAGGGTCAGGATTAGGGGCAGGCTTATGTTTTGGGTAAGGTTAGGTTTTGCATAATGGAAGTAACATATTAATAACACATCTACTTAATGTAAGTAATGTATAAACAGATCATCTACAAGATATGTGTTTAAATGTATTTAGATGCTTCACTACTGCTACTACTACTGAAACGTTGTTGACTTGTTACTAGTACTCTGTTAAGAGTTTATTAATCATCTACAAAGACCACTCCAAATAAAGTGTTACCAAAACTGCAAACAAATATGACCACTCTAATTGATCAGATGCTTTCTCTGCCTCCAGAGAGATGATCATATATCAATCTTAATGAGTGAAGGGTGAATACATAATATTTTGAGATATCTTGAAGTGTGCCTATTTGTGATTAAGCTGGACTCATCTGCATGGACACGTCTCTCTACTAAACAACTAATTCTGTTTGCAAGCATTTTGGGCGAGGCTTCTGGTCATAATTTAGAATTAAGATTGGCCCCTAACTACCTTCTTCCCCAGGATCTTTCCCTTGCTTTATGATTAATGTGATAACAGCTTCTTTGATTGATTGTGGGAGTGTGCCACCCTTATGAATGTGTAAGTAGATTGTAGATAAAAACTTTGAAATCAAATCAGGAAATTTCTTACAAAATTCATATGGTGATTGGTGCTTAACAATTTGATTGATTCTTGTATTTCTACCAGGGTAATGTCCATGTCAAGAGTATCACAATTAGAGATAAATATTGACTGGCTATGTATCGGTATTGGCCAGTTTTGGCTATCGGCTGATATTTCTCTAGCTTAGCTGATCCTGAGAGCTGATCAGTGATGTAAAAATATGAGCTATATATGAGCTATACCAGAATGTAACTGCTGCACAATTTAAGGTGGAACAGGAAATTTTGCACAAGAAACTGGTGTTTAGGAAACCAATATACTTTTTCCTGAAGTATATTACACATTTGGTTTCTATTACACTGTGAACTTGCTGTGTGACTGTGCAGAGCTGTAATTAATGCAGTTTGTTGTCAAAGCTTTGAGGATTCATTTCTGACAGCATGTTAGGATCCGAGTGCCAGTCTTTGCCTACACTGCACTAGCTTCATGACCTATGACTTTGGCAGGAACTGAGAATAAAAATAAAATGCATAACTACAAAAGCGATCGCATGTCAGCCCTTTAAGCTTTTTCAGTACATTTAAAAACCCATCCATGAAGCTGGAGGACCTTATTATAGGTCCTTTCAGCTGCAGCAGTTGCATATGCTTTGGTTATTTCTTTGGTTAAGCTAGTCTGAGGCACCAGCATGTAACTGCTCCACCAATTAAGGTGGAAGGAGAAAATTTGAACAAGATGCGGATTCCTGCTTTGTTGAAATTTAAAAAGGCATGAGAAGGGGTGAAGATGTTGCTCTGTTTTTGCTTGACTGGTAGGTGACACTAACTCATTGATTCTGTGAAACAGCAAAAATAGGTCAGTATTTTTATCCCTTTAGCTTATGTTTGTGGTTAGCTTCACAATAGCAGTTGTATTATCATTTTGTTAAACCACAACCCAGCTAACGTTAGTTACTTTACTTGCTCTTTTGTTATACCATGGGATTTGTGTTAATTTTCGAAAGGTTTTATGGCCACAAAATGTGTCGGTGGCCTTGGCAATGCCCATCTATGAATTTTAGGGGCAAAGCTTTTGAAGGAGCACTCAAGGGAGGGGTGCATTTGTTATGTTGTTGAGAATCACTTCTGTGTCTTTAAATGTGCTGTAAGCCATTCTCAAAACATCAGTGAAGTTTAGTTTTTTAATTAATTATTCATAAAATTACTTGCACTATAAGGGAGCTATTCTTAGACACGAAGATCAATCCAAAAAAGGATCTAACACCAAGTTGAAATCTCTTATAATCAAATTAGTACATGATATGTTAGAAATCTGTAGGAAGAATGTGAGATTATCATTATTAGCACTGTAGTTACTGATTAATGTTGAGTTTTGAGTAATGTTGAGTACGGTTACGACAATTATTCGACTTAGTCGACTAAAAACGACGACCAAATTAGTTGGCAACTAATCTAATAGTCAATTAGTTGGTGACGTCATTACGCGTCTTTCTTGCGCTGACTAGGAACATTTTGACATTACCGATGACTAGAGAGTTAACAACCGCGCGAAGGCAGCCTCAAGAACAAAAACTTCAAAAGTGTGGGAGGTAAACTCAGAAAACAAGGTTGTCAGTTGAGTTATTTGTGAAGCCGAGCTCAGCTGGCACGGGAGCACATCCTTCATGTTGGAGCATCTGAAGAGGAAACTCACTGGGTGAAGATTAATCTAGGTAAAATACGCCATGTCCGCATATTAGCTCACTAAATAGTGTGTAAAAACAGCCCATATACCATTAGAAGTGCACTCATTAGTGTAGGGTGTGAAGTACAGAAGTGTCTGGTTTGGGACACGGCGATAGTTGCGCTGGAGAGCTAGTTAGCTAATGTTAAAAGCCGTCCTACTTCATGTTCTGAGCTGAGCTGTAACATTTGTATTTTGAAATGCAGGTTCTCTGGAATCGTTAATGGAGTTGGAACAAAGAAGCAAGTAACTGCTATTCACAGCTACCCTGTTCACTTTCCAGATAACGCTTACAGTTTTAAACACTGCATCGGTGTCTTAGCGAATTTGAACCGGTGCGTTTAAATTGGGCAAACACAGAGAGCGTTTCCAAACAGCTTTCTGTTCTCCGTGGAAGTTTGGCTCCACTCGCTAACAGTTTCAGGAGGCAGTTCTCCGTGAACACACAGGGCAGCTGGACAAAGGGTCACCGTTGAAATGAAGCGTTTACACAAAATAGTTAAAATTTAACTGTTCATAGAGAAATTTGCCACAAACGTTCGCCATTTTGCCATCAGAGCGTGTCTCCTCTGCAGCGGGGCGTATCTACTCTCAGAGGAGAGCGAGACTCTCACAGGAGCACGGAGAGATGCTGACTTTCATCTGTTTCAATAAAGACCTGAGATTGTAAGAATTTAGTTGCAGCTAAGTGTAGACAGACAGCAGAATGCACAGAGCACAGACTGCACTGTTTAAAATTAACATTTAAATTTAGAATGATGTTTTATTTACTTCATTAAAGAAAAACAGATTGAGTTTTGTTATATTTTATTGCTGCTACTTTGCGCACCCTTGGTTATAAATTTTGACAGGAAAAATATATTGGAGTTTCTTGTCTTTTGTATTAGCAGGAAAGTTAATTAAAACTGTGAATGTTATTCATCTTTATTGTCTTCATTGTTAGTTAGCAAATGCATAAAACAACCTCAAGCTAAATTTAAAAGCTAATAGCTACATAAAAGTTATTTGGTAATGTAGTGATTCATAATCCAAATAATTGATTATTCATTTCAGTAATCGAACAATTATTCGATTATCAAATTAGTCATTTGTTGCAGCCCTAATGTTGAGTGGAGTACATTTCTCCAGTAACAATTAAATATTTGCTGTATTTATCAGGAATGAAAATTTTATAACCAAATGAGATTAATTTTATAACGCTCTTAGATTAAAATGCCAACACCTCCAAAGTCTGAATGATATAACTGACCTGTCTGGTTTTTAAGTTTCACATGCATGTTTATCCAAGGAGTTTCCTGGAGGAAAATATCAGACCCTTTATTTCTTGTTGCCACCGAATTCTAATATATGTTTTACTCTAATCACCCCACCATTGTAAACATATGTGAAGATTTTAGCTGAATTTATTCAAACATGATATTCTAAACATTGTTAATCTCCTTTTGCTTGTATTGTGAGAGCTATTGTATTATCTTTTCCTTTGCAGGCTAGCTTTTTGTAATCTTGGAAAAAAGGCTTGTGAAAATCTGGAATTAGTTTTAACACTGGAAACCTCTTCCCTGAAAGAGCTGGACATCAGTAACAACGACCTCCAAGATTCAGGAGTGGAGGTCCTCTCTGCTGGACTGAAGAGTTCACACTGTCAACTGGAGATTCTCAGGTAGGATTTCTATTAGTTAATGGAATGTTAAACATTGACATTCATTGTTTGAAAAGAAATGAACATAAAGTGTGGGGGCAGTCGACCTTCTAACAAACACAACGGCTCACCTCTGAGTCTGGCTACCAACTAGAACACAGAATAATTAAATAGCTAGAACGAGTCCGTAATCTGATGACCTAACTTCAAATACATTGCTTGACCTTTATTGATCTCACATTTGGCCAGGTTTACCAGCAACTGAGCACTCTTTAGTCTTTCAAATGACTGACAGAGATGATCTACATTCTCCTGCCAGGAACCACTACACACCACTACATCATCAATATGTGAGCACATTGCTCTGTCCAGCAGTGATTTTATTCATTAAGCGTTGGAAGGTAGCTGGTGCATTTTTTCATTCCAAATTTCCAAACTTTGCACATATTAAAAGCTGAACCTTGCACATATATAAAGCATCAAAAAGCACAAATAACTTGTGCCTGCTTTGACAGTGGCACTTGACAAGATCCCTTTAAGAGATCTAGCTTCATCTCATACTGTGCTCTACCTGTTCTATCAATGCAATCTTCCAATTTTGGGAAATGCAGTAGCCTTTACTTGGTTTACTTTTCAATAGATTATACAAAAACATAATGCAGAATCAGCCTTTGTAACAAGTACCACTGATGAACTCCACTCACTCTGCATTTGCTCAACCCCATCATATATGAGGGAAGCAAGCCCTTCCCTCAGCCTACTCAACTTAGTAGGGGACAACCTGTATGGATGTCGTTTAATAGCAGTAACTTCGCCAGTCTCAAGATCATGAGTCACCAATGGGGTACACTCCAGCACATCCTGGAACAGCTCACCATGACTAAGGATGATAAACTGATGGTGTGAAATGGTTATTATGCTGTTCAAACATAACTTCCAGGAATAGAGCAGACACAACATTTGATCCCTATATTGACTGCACCTTTTCAGGCAGCAAGGAAAGGTTAGCTAGGACATCAATAATGGTTTTAGCCTTAATATTTCTCAGAGGCACAGCTTCTGGATAGTGTGTAGTCATATCCATGATGGTTAAAATATACTGTATGTATTGTCCTTCTTAGTTTCTTGTAAAGTACACACAGAATCAATTAAAACTCTTGAAAGCAACTCCTCAACCACTGGAGGAGGGAAACAAAGGAGGCACTGGTAGCTTTTGATTGGGCTTTAGCAACTTCTGACACATCAGACAAGTACAACAAAACCCCACTACATCCCTTTGGAGCTTAGGCCAGCAGAAATGCTTTGTAATCCTTTTTTGAGTCTTCGTAATGCCTGCACACCCAGCTACAGAGGTTTTATGGGCCCAACGCATCACCTTTGCATGAAAACACTGTGGCCCCACCACCTGATCCACTAATACCTTAGTCCTGGCCCAAGGCTCTCCATTTCCACATGAGTACATCATCTTGCTCATAAAAACTGTCTGCCATTTCTCTGCTCTCCTCAAATGAAGCTGCAGTTTTTCTGAAAGAAGCCAAAACTGAGTTTTTCTTTTGCTCCTTAATTAAACCTTTCATGTGAACTCTGAGCTTTCAATGCTCCCAGATAAGTTAGCAACAAATGTATTTTCCAGCTCTATTTCTGTATTTGCCTTGTTCCATATGTAAAATGGGGGAAAACCAAATTGATAAGACACTTTCACTGTAATACATTGATTAGTTTATTCTCCTTTTCCTTTTACTGCTCTCTTGTCCATTTCTCTTTGATTTAGAGCCATTGTCTTTTTTTCTTTTCTGTTACAGCTCCCTTTCTCTTTTTCTCCTTGCTTTGGAACAGTGTCTCTTTTTTTCTCTTACCTCGTAACTTTTCTCGTTTCTCTGTGTTTCGTACTGTTACCAGCTACCCCTCAACAAAGGTCCAGCATTTTCCCAGAGTGTCTCTGGGGTTTAAATAGGTGCTCCTCCAGCTGTGTTGTATTAAGGCAGTAAGTCCAGAGCTTTCTGGGAATTGGAGTCCTTGAAAAGGTTGCCCTAGACGAGTGCCGCTGCTGCCCTCTGCTGACAGCAGGTGGCAATGAGTGCCTCCTTAGACTGGTTAAACTTAGCAAATGACTCTGAATTACATCCTGACCAAGAAACTCCAACTTCACATTTGTCCATTTTCCCCAAAGCCAAAAGGAAAGGACAGTGAGAAGCCTATATCATAGCGCACACACAACCCTGCTAAATACTAAGAAAGCCTAAGGTCACAAAAATAATCCTCAAAAGCACCATCCAGTGTAGGACTTGATTTGTCTCCAAAATGTGATTGTATTATGAGTCACAACACTGTGACTATAAAGACATTTATCTCATTTAACTGGAGAAAAAAGTATGGCTCCAGTGTCATAAGGTGAACAGTGAAGTTGCTAAAATATTGGCATGTTTTGAAAGAGAGAATAATTGTGGGAGGAATGTTATTTTATAGCATTAATTTGACTGATTAAGGAAAAAGACAGGGAGTCCCATATTCAATGTTTGATTTAAACCTGGCCATAAGGCTAGAAAATTGGCTTGAACAGTGAACGAGATTGTTAAGTACCCATAGTTCTCAAGTAGGTGAGTTGTTCTAAAGCTATCTTAAAAGGGAATTGCTAAAGCTCTGCTATATTCTGAACTTTAGTTGGAATTATTTCACTTTTGGTCCATTTTGTTCAATAATCTGAGAAAGTACCAAAATGCATGATCAACTCTAGTAGTTTATGGATAGAGGACTGAGGTTTGGAAATATATAATAATTATTGGTGAATAATTAGATTTTATTAAGTGTATCTTGCAAGCTGTAGCAATGAATTGAACAATCTGCATGTATGCTTTCCGCCAAAGGCTCCAAGGCCAAGACAAGAGCCAAAGGAAACAGGACGTAGCTTTGGCTCTGTACAAACTGAAAAAGGGGAAAACTTCATTAGTGATGATCTAGACACATGAGTTTTGATTAAGATCTTAATCTGAGAAAAACACCTTTCACCAAAATTGAATGTATTTAAAACTGTGCTGACACTTTATTTTGAGTGGTCCTTTTTAACACTCAGCAGACTCTCAGTAACATGTCAAAAACATATGAGGGTTAGCATTAGGTTTTGGGTTGAGTGTAAGATTAGGGTCAGGATTAGGGGCAAGCTTATGTTTTGGGTAAGGTTAGGTTTTGCATAATGGAAGTAACATATTAATAACACATCTACTTAATGTAAGTAATGTATAAACAGATCATCTACAAGATATGTGTTTAAATGTATTTAGATGCTTCACTACTGCTACTACTACTGAAACGTTGTTGACTTGTTACTAGTACTCTGTTAAGAGTTTATTAATCATCTACAAAGACCACTCCAAATAAAGTGTTACCAAAACTGCAAACAAATATGACCACTCTAATTGATCAGATGCTTTCTCTGCCTCCAGAGAGATGATCATATATCAATCTTAATGAGTGAAGGGTGAATACATAATATTTTGAGATATCTTGAAGTGTGCCTATTTGTGATTAAGCTGGACTCATCTGCATGGACACGTCTCTCTACTAAACAACTAATTCTGTTTGCAAGCATTTTGGGCGAGGCTTCTGGTCATAATTTAGAATTAAGATTGGCCCCTAACTACCTTCTTCCCCAGGATCTTTCCCTTGCTTTATGATTAATGTGATAACAGCTTCTTTGATTGATTGTGGGAGTGTGCCACCCTTATGAATGTGTAAGTAGATTGTAGATAAAAACTTTGAAATCAAATCAGGAAATTTCTTACAAAATTCATATGGTGATTGGTGCTTAACAATTTGATTGATTCTTGTATTTCTACCAGGGTAATGTCCATGTCAAGAGTATCACAATTAGAGATAAATATTGACTGGCTATGTATCGGTATTGGCCAGTTTTGGCTATCAGCTGATATTTCTCTAGCTTAGCTGATCCTGAGAGCTGATCAGTGATGTAAAAATATGAGCTATATATGAGCTATACCAGAATGTAACTGCTGCACAATTTAAGGTGGAACAGGAAATTTTGCACAAGAAACTGGTGTTTAGGAAACCAATATACTTTTTCCTGAAGTATATTACACATTTGGTTTCTATTACACTGTGAACTTGCTGTGTGACTGTGCAGAGCTGTAATTAATGCAGTTTGTTGTCAAAGCTTTGAGGATTCATTTCTGACAGCATGTTAGGATCCGAGTGCCAGTCTTTGCCTACACTGCACTAGCTTCATGACCTATGACTTTGGCAGGAACTGAGAATAAAAATAAAATGCATAACTACAAAAGCGATCGCATGTCAGCCCTTTAAGCTTTTTCAGTACATTTAAAAACCCATCCATGAAGCTGGAGGACCTTATTATAGGTCCTTTCAGCTGCAGCAGTTGCATATGCTTTGGTTATTTCTTTGGTTAAGCTAGTCTGAGGCACCAGCATGTAACTGCTCCACCAATTAAGGTGGAAGGAGAAAATTTGAACAAGATGCGGATTCCTGCTTTGTTGAAATTTAAAAAGGCATGAGAAGGGGTGAAGATGTTGCTCTGTTTTTGCTTGACTGGTAGGTGACACTAACTCATTGATTCTGTGAAACAGCAAAAATAGGTCAGTATTTTTATCCCTTTAGCTTATGTTTGTGGTTAGCTTCACAATAGCAGTTGTATTATCATTTTGTTAAACCACAACCCAGCTAACGTTAGTTACTTTACTTGCTCTTTTGTTATACCATGGGATTTGTGTTAATTTTCGAAAGGTTTTATGGCCACAAAATGTGTCGGTGGCCTTGGCAATGCCCATCTATGAATTTTAGGGGCAAAGCTTTTGAAGGAGCACTCAAGGGAGGGGTGCATTTGTTATGTTGTTGAGAATCACTTCTGTGTCTTTAAATGTGCTGTAAGCCATTCTCAAAACATCAGTGAAGTTTAGTTTTTTAATTAATTATTCATAAAATTACTTGCACTATAAGGGAGCTATTCTTAGACACGAAGATCAATCCAAAAAAGGATCTAACACCAAGTTGAAATCTCTTATAATCAAATTAGTACATGATATGTTAGAAATCTGTAGGAAGAATGTGAGATTATCATTATTAGCACTGTAGTTACTGATTAATGTTGAGTTTTGAGTAATGTTGAGTACGGTTACGACAATTATTCGACTTAGTCGACTAAAAACGACGACCAAATTAGTTGGCAACTAATCTAATAGTCAATTAGTTGGTGACGTCATTACGCGTCTTTCTTGCGCTGACTAGGAACATTTTGACATTACCGATGACTAGAGAGTTAACAACCGCGCGAAGGCAGCCTCAAGAACAAAAACTTCAAAAGTGTGGGAGGTAAACTCAGAAAACAAGGTTGTCAGTTGAGTTATTTGTGAAGCCGAGCTCAGCTGGCACGGGAGCACATCCTTCATGTTGGAGCATCTGAAGAGGAAACTCACTGGGTGAAGATTAATCTAGGTAAAATACGCCATGTCCGCATATTAGCTCACTAAATAGTGTGTAAAAACAGCCCATATACCATTAGAAGTGCACTCATTAGTGTAGGGTGTGAAGTACAGAAGTGTCTGGTTTGGGACACGGCGATAGTTGCGCTGGAGAGCTAGTTAGCTAATGTTAAAAGCCGTCCTACTTCATGTTCTGAGCTGAGCTGTAACATTTGTATTTTGAAATGCAGGTTCTCTGGAATCGTTAATGGAGTTGGAACAAAGAAGCAAGTAACTGCTATTCACAGCTACCCTGTTCACTTTCCAGATAACGCTTACAGTTTTAAACACTGCATCGGTGTCTTAGCGAATTTGAACCGGTGCGTTTAAATTGGGCAAACACAGAGAGCGTTTCCAAACAGCTTTCTGTTCTCCGTGGAAGTTTGGCTCCACTCGCTAACAGTTTCAGGAGGCAGTTCTCCGTGAACACACAGGGCAGCTGGACAAAGGGTCACCGTTGAAATGAAGCGTTTACACAAAATAGTTAAAATTTAACTGTTCATAGAGAAATTTGCCACAAACGTTCGCCATTTTGCCATCAGAGCGTGTCTCCTCTGCAGCGGGGCGTATCTACTCTCAGAGGAGAGCGAGACTCTCACAGGAGCACGGAGAGATGCTGACTTTCATCTGTTTCAATAAAGACCTGAGATTGTAAGAATTTAGTTGCAGCTAAGTGTAGACAGACAGCAGAATGCACAGAGCACAGACTGCACTGTTTAAAATTAACATTTAAATTTAGAATGATGTTTTATTTACTTCATTAAAGAAAAACAGATTGAGTTTTGTTATATTTTATTGCTGCTACTTTGCGCACCCTTGGTTATAAATTTTGACAGGAAAAATATATTGGAGTTTCTTGTCTTTTGTATTAGCAGGAAAGTTAATTAAAACTGTGAATGTTATTCATCTTTATTGTCTTCATTGTTAGTTAGCAAATGCATAAAACAACCTCAAGCTAAATTTAAAAGCTAATAGCTACATAAAAGTTATTTGGTAATGTAGTGATTCATAATCCAAATAATTGATTATTCATTTCAGTAATCGAACAATTATTCGATTATCAAATTAGTCATTTGTTGCAGCCCTAATGTTGAGTGGAGTACATTTCTCCAGTAACAATTAAATATTTGCTGTATTTATCAGGAATGAAAATTTTATAACCAAATGAGATTAATTTTATAACGCTCTTAGATTAAAATGCCAACACCTCCAAAGTCTGAATGATATAACTGACCTGTCTGGTTTTTAAGTTTCACATGCATGTTTATCCAAGGAGTTTCCTGGAGGAAAATATCAGACCCTTTATTTCTTGTTGCCACCGAATTCTAATATATGTTTTACTCTAATCACCCCACCATTGTAAACATATGTGAAGATTTTAGCTGAATTTATTCAAACATGATATTCTAAACATTGTTAATCTCCTTTTGCTTGTATTGTGAGAGCTATTGTATTATCTTTTCCTTTGCAGGCTAGCTTTTTGTAATCTTGGAAAAAAGGCTTGTGAAAATCTGGAATTAGTTTTAACACTGGAAACCTCTTCCCTGAAAGAGCTGGACATCAGTAACAACGACCTCCAAGATTCAGGAGTGGAGGTCCTCTCTGCTGGACTGAAGAGTTCACACTGTCAACTGGAGATTCTCAGGTAGGATTTCTATTAGTTAATGGAATGTTAAACATTGACATTCATTGTTTGAAAAGAAATGAACATAAAGTGTGGGGGCAGTCGACCTTCTAACAAACACAACGGCTCACCTCTGAGTCTGGCTACCAACTAGAACACAGAATAATTAAATAGCTAGAACGAGTCCGTAATCTGATGACCTAACTTCAAATACATTGCTTGACCTTTATTGATCTCACATTTGGCCAGGTTTACCAGCAACTGAGCACTCTTTAGTCTTTCAAATGACTGACAGAGATGATCTACATTCTCCTGCCAGGAACCACTACACACCACTACATCATCAATATGTGAGCACATTGCTCTGTCCAGCAGTGATTTTATTCATTAAGCGTTGGAAGGTAGCTGGTGCATTTTTTCATTCCAAATTTCCAAACTTTGCACATATTAAAAGCTGAACCTTGCACATATATAAAGCATCAAAAAGCACAAATAACTTGTGCCTGCTTTGACAGTGGCACTTGACAAGATCCCTTTAAGAGATCTAGCTTCATCTCATACTGTGCTCTACCTGTTCTATCAATGCAATCTTCCAATTTTGGGAAATGCAGTAGCCTTTACTTGGTTTACTTTTCAATAGATTATACAAAAACATAATGCAGAATCAGCCTTTGTAACAAGTACCACTGATGAACTCCACTCACTCTGCATTTGCTCAACCCCATCATATATGAGGGAAGCAAGCCCTTCCCTCAGCCTACTCAACTTAGTAGGGGACAACCTGTATGGATGTCGTTTAATAGCAGTAACTTTGCCAGTCTCAAGATCATGAGTCACCAATGGGGTACACTCCAGCACATCCTGGAACAGCTCACCATGACTAAGGATGATAAACTGATGGTGTGAAATGGTTAATACGCTGTTCAAACATAACTTCCAGGAATACAGCAGACACCACATTTGACCCCTATATTGACTGCACCTTTTTAGGCAGCAAGGAAAGGTTAGCTAGGACATCAATAATGATTTTAGCCTTAATATTTCTCAGAGGCACAGCTTCTGGATAGTGTGTAGTCATATCTATGATGGTTAAAATATACTGTATGCATTGTCCTTCTTAGTTTCTTGTAAAGTACACATAGAATCAATTAAAACTCTCAAAAGCAACTCCTCAACCACTGGAGGAGGGATACAAAGGAGGCATTGGTAGCTTTTGATTGGGCTTTAGCAACTTCTGACACATCAGACAAGTACAACAAAACCCCACTATATCCCTTTAGAGCTTAGGCCAGCAGAAATGCTTTGTAATCCTCTTTTGAGTCTTCTTAATGCCTGCACGCCCAGCTTACAGATGCCCAACGCATCACCTTCGCATGAAAACACTGTGGCCCTACCACCTGATCCACTATACCTTAGTCCTCAACTCAGGCTGGCCCAAGGCTCTCCATTTCCACATGAGTACATCATCTTGCTCATAAAAACTGTCTGCCATTTCTCTGTTCTGCTCAAATGAAGCTGCAGTTTTTCTGAAAGAAGCCAAAACTGAGTTTTTCTTTTGCTCCTTAATTAAACCTTTTCATGTGAATTCTGAGCTTTCAATACTCCCAAATAAGTTAGCAACAAATGTATTTTCCAGCTCTATTTCTGTATTTGCCTTGTTCCATATGTAAAATGGGGGAAAACCAAATTGATAAGACACTTTCACTGTAATACATTGGTTAGTTTGTTCTCCTTTTCCTTTTACTGCTCTCTTGTCCATTTCTCTTTGATTTGGAGCCATTGTCTTTTTTCTTTTCTGTTACAGCTTCCTTTTTCTCCTTGCTTTGGAACAGTGTCTCTTTTTTTTCTCTTACCTCGTAACTTTACTTGTTTCTCTTTTTTTCTGTTTCGTACTGTTACCAGCTACCCCTCTACAAAGGTCCAGCATTTTCCCAGAGTGTCTCTGGGGTTTAAATAGGTGCTCCTCCAGCTGTGTGGCATAAAGGCAGTAAGCCCAGAGCTTTCTGGGAATTGGAGTCCTTGGAGAGGTTGCCCTACGAGGGCTGCTGCTGCCCTCTGCTGACAGCAGGTGGCAGTGAGCGCCTCCTTACATTGGTTAAACTTACCAAATGACCATGAATTACATCCTGACCAAGAAACTCCTCAACTTCACATTTGTCCATTTTCCCCAAAGCCAAAAGGAAAGGACAGTGAGAGGACTATACCATGCTGCACATACAACCCTGCTAAATACTACGAAAGCCTAAGGTTACACACACAAATAATTCTCACTTTAATATAAACATGAACCACAATGCGACTTAACGCTGCAGCAAATATAAAGAGCATCAAATAATTCAAAAGTCTCTCAGAAGGACAGTAGCCACGTTTACATGCAGCCTAATAATCCGTTAATAATCCCACTAATAGCTCAATCTGAATAGAATATGTCGATGTAAACACATCAATCGGAATAGTCTAGTCTGATTGAGGCCATTCGAAATACAATTTCTATCCGATTGAATGAGGTGGGTAAACCTCTAAGTAATCCGTTAAATAGAAGAATAATAGCCATGTAAACGCCTGTATCCAATTATATTCCAATCGGAAGGTGTAAATACATTCTGCGCATGTGCGTTAGCATCATAGCAAAAGTTTATAACGTTCACCATGGCGGGAGCAGAAACTGGTCTGCAGAGGAGACGAAGTTTGCTCTGATCTTTAAAAGACGGTGGTGGGACGGACTTCCAGCTTCTGTGTCTCAGAACACGACGACTTCCTCTTGGCCTTCTTTAATAAGAACATGTGAAGTACGTAAGTGCGCCAGCTGGAAACTCATCTCACTCTGACTGGACCTCACGTGATGTTCGCTGTCATGGTAACGTTTACTCTAAGTGCTACTCCACGCATGCGCATCATTTTGCATTGGATTACTTATAGTGAGCATGTAAACGAAGATTTTCCATCAAATTGTTGAATAGAGTGAGCATATAAACACCTCAGTCTGAATCTGTAATCGGATTGAATTCAATCGGATTGGCAAAAATCTTTGCATGTTAACATAGCCAATCAACAATTCACACAAACCAACTAGATCTTTATCATACACAAAACGAAACACCACTCAAAAAAAGTTAAATATGCCAACAGCTACATCTCACTAATCTGCACTCCATGATGACAACAATTTATCTAAAAAACACACTGTAATATTTACATTTACATTTACAACATAATTAGGTCAAATCTCAGATGTGCAACATAACTGTTAAGGCCATCCACCTCTTAACTAACACATGCTCACCTGCAAGTCTAACTACCAACTAAAACAAATATAATTAAATAGCTAGAAAGAGTCCTTAACCTGAAACAGGTTTCCGAGAATGTGAAAGTGTATCTAGATAGATGTAGGTAAGTATTACTCTACTGAGACACTGTGAGAGGAAAATGTGAGCCCATCTGAGCAGCAGCAATAGCATCTCTGTGGCTTCACTCGGCCTGCATAAGCACTCTCTTTACACATGTGAAAATCAGTGGCTCTCCCTGCACTACCACATCCCAACAGACGATAAGATTTCTAATTATTGTAGGCTGGAATTCCACTTTTTAGTTTTTCAAAATGTCTGCATCAATATTGAGATATTAGCAAAGTCATTCAGAGTGGTTTGATATGAAATGATTTATTCTACCAATGTGCAATTTTTACACAAGTGGTGAAAGGAACCATGGATCATAATATCTAATAAAATCTAATACCCAATAGCTAATATATCTAATTGTATGCAAAAGTTTGGGTGCTTTTTGTCAAATTATGTTTTGTTGATTGTCTAAGTGAAAATAAGTACAGATCCTCTACACAGAACATTTTAATGCACAATTACTTATTTTTTAAATGTCACATAATGAAACAAAATATACAACATTAAATGTGGCCTGTACAAAAGTTTTATATTTTATGTTTAAGTTGTTTTAATACATTCATATTAATCTCAGTATATTCATATTAATTGCACATAATAATTTTCTCTGAGGGAGCTTTTAGAGGCCTTTAATTCTTCAGATGTCTGGTGTCAAATATGAGTTGTTCCTAATATTTTGTTTAACATTTTATGCTATCGTACTGTAATGACAAAGTACACCTTTTCAGAAGTAGACACTAGTGCTTCTCTGTGTAACAGTTCAATGCAAGTCAGCTGTTTTGCACTTGTTTTTGCTCTACAAAGAATCCAATTTGTATAACCCTTTTGTTCGAACCTTTCCTTCCCTTTTTACCTTTTTTGTACTTTGATATCTGTGAATTACATGAATGTTCATTCATGTTACTAATTAACTGAAGGTATTTAGAGCACCTGTGTAAAGCTGTGTTATGGCTCTCCCTGATAAAGACCCAAGCGAAAACCTGTTGATAGACTTTTTTTATCCATAGCAATGTGATAATGAAGGCTTTTATTTCATAAAGAGTGCCATGTTTTACTTTTTTCTTAAAATTCTTGAACCCCTGGCCATAGAGGACCTTCAACACATTTATTTCCCTGTCTGTAACACTAACAGTCTTTATAAGTCATTGTGCTTTCAGTGAAGTTTTTCTCTGGCGTTTTTGAAGGGATTTTTATTGCACATTGGAATCTACACAAGGCCACATAATTTCCATATTCGAATGAAGATTGACAAAAACGACCATTACTTTCTCATCACTATTAGAAGGAACTGTACTCTGTAAAACTGACAATAGATGTGAGTAAGATGAACAATGATTTGAAATACTGTAAAGAGAAAGAGTGTAAACTGAATTTTAATGATCCCTAGAGGTCTCTGAATTAAAATGTTTCTAGGATATGGAGGACAAGATAAAATGGGCTTTAGAGAGAAATGGGAGGCAATACTCCAAATACTCCTTTCTCTGATGTTATTTCTCATAAAGGAATCAAAGAAAGATTTGCTGCAAGTTCAGGAGATGAAGCAGTCATTGCTGTTTGCAAAGATGAGGCAACAATAAAAGAACTGGATAAAAAAATGAATGAATTCATAAAAAAGCTGAAACAGCAAAATTGAAGAAATTTAAAAGGGATGAAGTCCCCTCTACTTCTTTATGTACCCCTAGAAAATATTTGAGTAAAACCTCTTTCAGCTTTACAAGCAGTGAATCAGAGAAATTTTCCAGTTACAATGATGGGCCATATTCTAAAAGTTTTTAGCAACATGAGCAGCATCACACAGAGAGTTCATGGAAAAAGTAAAAGAAAGGGGAAGAGATTGATTTGGAAAGGGAAGGAAGCAGCCTAGACCATCCATTTACTGATAGCAGGTCTGGACAAATTCTAAATGCATAGATTATTTTATAAAACCTTTTTTTTTATCATTTTCACCTCATATATTCAAGATATTGTTGATGTATTGAATAAAATTCAAGAATTGAATATTAAAGGTGCTGTGTCTTTTTTAGTGACTATAGAATCATTATAACCATTATGAATATTCATCATGATCAAGGATTGGTAGCTTAAATTCTAAACCTGAAACTTAGATTTACTTCTGTCTGAATTTCTTACACAGTTAACTGAATGGACATTAAATAATACTATCTTTGTGTTTCAAAATTTATGAGCAAGTCATTCTTTGTAGATGATTAAAAAACTCTTCACATCAACAACATAGTGAAGTAGCAGTTGTGAAGCATCTGAGTATATTGAGGTAAATATCTTGAAGATGTACTTATATTAAGTAGATGTATTGTTGATATGTTGCACAAAGTAGACTTATTATGTTACTTCTGTTATGCAAAACCTAACCTTATTCAACTTTACCAAAAACCCAGGCCCTAATTGTAAACCTAGCTTCAATCTCAACCCAAAACCTAATCCTAACCCTAACTTTAACCAAAACCTAATCTTGTTAAGCTCCAGTTATAAAACAGTGTCAGCAGCACGTCTATAACAGCTTGTTGAAGATGATGAGATGGTCTGTATTAAACCTGTTACATGTTCAGTGACCGCTCAGTGTCACGTATTCGGCCAGCCAGCCTCCAAACTACGATTCCCAGAATCCTCCGCTTCATCACATGACACCAGGAAGAGCAGCAGCAACCAATCACCGCTCTAGCTCTCCGGAATACTGATCACTCTCACCTGTGTGTTTATGTCATGTGATCTGTTTAGTATATTAGCCCGGGCTTAGCATAGGACCTTTGCGAGGTATTGTTTTCTTGAAAACTACTGAGCGTTCATTCAGGTTTTTTGATCTCCCCTGTTATGACCTTGTGTTTCTGGATTTGTTTCTTGGATTTTCGGATTTGCCCTTTTGTACTGTTGCCTGGTTGGATTGATATCTGGTTTTGGGCTTTTGCCTGTACTCTGGACTTTGATCTGCCTAGCCCTGTTGTGTTTGATCGCCTTCAGTGTATTTTGCTGTGCCTGTGTACCAACGACAATAACTCTAGTAAAGCTTCATCACTTTTTTACATCCGCGAGCGTCTGCTCTCTGGTCGCACGTTACACTTAGGTTGTTTTCACTTTAATTGGACACTCCAAATAACGTGAAAATCAACCGAAACAAACTATAAACAAATCATATTTATACAGTTAATTAAAAGTGTCTTGGTAATCTACTGAATGTATTCACTGCTGATACATTACTGGTATGTTGTCAATATGTTACTGAGAGTCTGTTGAGTATTCATTTCATCTAAGAAGCACCACTCAAAATAAAGTGTCACCCACCTTTTTTTCAACAAGATTATTTGAGTTCTCCTTACACTGATGACATTATTCCATTTTTACTGGGTCAGAGGAGGACCTATTGAGATCATAAATATCTTATAAGTACAGATTCAAATATTGTCATTGTCAAGAGAAGATTTTTTTTTTGGAATTATAGATTAGTAAAGATGAAAAGGTTTTCTACATACATAAATTTTTAGGAAACCAATGGATAGAAATACCGTTGTACCTGCCAATAGTTTTCACCCACATGAATTGATTGAAAATATGCTCTTTGTGCAATTTCAAAGACTCTGTAGAATTTGTGATGATGAACAGCATTATAAAAAAGGTAAACGCATTGGAGTTGGAGGAAAGGTTGCAGTCTATGTAAAGCAAAAATAAGGGCAAAACAGTTGACTCACAATGAATTTTAATGTAGAAAAGCACTGGTGTCTACTTCTGAAAAGGTGTACTTTGTCACAAGGCATAGTGCAATAGAACACAAAGGTAAATAAGTAATTAAAAAGAATTGTAGTATCTTTCATGTGATATATCTGTGATGTATCAAATTAAATCTTTCCATCCTCTCCAGTAATTAGTTTTAAAACTAACTCTTGAGGATAAGTTGGTACACAGTTATCTCAGCTACACAGAAAAATAATTGGTTAAGATGCAAGATTAATGGATGTTTTAAATGTAATCAGTGCAATCATTGTGATAATGTAGCTCAAAGTAAGACCTTTTACAATATTGTGTCTGATAAAGAATATACAATAAACATTTAATTAAGTGTAAAACTACTCATATTTCTTATAGATTAGAATGCCAAGTTTCTGAGTTGTCCGTAAAAGTGTTTGGCAGAACCCAAGTATGTCTTAAGGAGAGGTAATGAGGAGTACACTATGGCTCAACGTTTTGAAATAAAACATTCTGATAATTCTTTTATGCTTAGATTTGTGGGTACCGATCTTATTTCTCATATATGTAGGAAAGACAATAGAGAACAGAAACCTGACCAAAGGGAGACTTTTTAGATTGACATTGTGACATTGTGACCTTATATATCTGGTATTTACATTGGTGGCTTTTTTGGATTTTTGGAGTTTTTTTTTAAATTGTTGTATGCAACTTTAATATCTGTGAATCACTTGGACGTTCAAAGTCATAACTAATTAACTGAAGGTATTTAGAGCACCTATGTAGAGTTGTATCTTCAAAAGTCACAACACTCTCCTTTATTGTTTGATTTAAAATCCAAAATTTAGAACTGCTGGGTGCTTTTTACTTAGATCTCTAAAAGAGCTCAGAATGGGATTTTAGATATTTTTTAGATTTTAGATTTTTTAGTTAATAAATACTTGTATGGAATTGTCAGTTTTAATATGCTTCTGTTGAGTTCTGTTTCCCCTTTCTCAGTCTGTCGCTGTCTATTTTCCTTTTTCTCCTCCATTTCTGCAGATTATCTGGTTGTATGATCACAGAGAAAGGCTGTTCTTCTCTGGCCTTAGCTCTGAATTCAAACCCCTCACACCTAAAAGAACTGGATCTGACATACAACCACCCAGGAGGGTCAGGAGTGAAGCTGCTCTCTGCTAGATTGGATGATCCACATTGTTCACTTAACACACTCAGGTATCAACAAGTGTATTCAGAGATGTTTGTGTCTGTTTATATTTCTAACAAACTCTTCAGCATATTAATTCTAGATACGAAGTAATAGTATAACAACTGAACAGTAAACTGTAGTAAAATAACTGTATACAAATGTATGGTAACTGAACAGTATGAAATGGTGACTACAGTGTACTGTAGGATAGCAACTGTACACTATAATATTGTACTTGTACATCTTAGTAATTATACACTATAATATAGTAAGTGTGCAACACACTGTAGTACAGTAATGGTACACTATTTTACAGTAACTATACACAATATAGTAATATAATTACTGTGCACTATTTTATGGCAACTGGACCCTATACTGTAGCTTGATAAATATGCATCATCATAAAGTAACAGTATATTGTAGTACAGTAACTCTCCCATATAGCAGGGGTTTGAAAGTTTTTTCAGGCGACTCATATTTTTGTCACTGATTTTTAATGCGACCCAAGCAACACAAATAACAAATCTAACTATGTACAGTTACTAAAACCATAAAAAGAATTATACTTGCTTTATGAGAAAGTTAGCCCAGTTTGTTCTATACCTTCTGGTCCCACTGTGGTTATTCTAATATTTTATAGTAATGCTGTTTGCTATCTGGTGTCGACCAGAGGAGGATGGGCCCCCCTTTTGAGCCTTGGTTCCTCTCAAGGTTTCTTCCTCTTGCTCTTAGGTTTTTCCTTGCCATTGTCACCATTGGTAACGTTCATGGGGGCTTGGACCCAGATTTTTCTGTAAAGCTGCTTTGTGACGACACCTGTAGTAAGAAGTGCGATATAAATTAACTTTGACTTGACTGTGGTTCAAAGGAAGAGTGGGCTACACACATATCAGGAGCAACATTCAGTTGGTTTCTCAGCTTTGTCTTCAGAGAATCCTACTTTTTAAATATACTTCACTGCATGACATCAGGCAGCAGCAATTGTTTTGTTTAGTAGTGGGTTTTCTCTGGAAAAGTCACTCCACAGTTTGGAAAGTTTTTTTGTTTTTGTGGCAAGTTTGCAGCATGCTCTCACAGGTGAGCTGCAGCATTTCTGAATCTTCCTGAGAAGTTAGATTAGTTACTTAGGTTAGGTAGTAACAATGCTAAGGATTCTGGGGTTTCAAAATCAAACTGGTTTTTCACCCACCTCTAATTATTCAAATGGTCAGATTTCCCCAGTAGAAAGGAGTGCATGAAATTCTTTGTTAATGTGTCCAGGTGTGCTTTAATAAGGAACATCAGGCCAGCAACAACTTTTATTTGCAAGACATGTCTGATGTGTTTATTCATGGTCTGAAACATGTAGTAAGAAAGAGTTTTGATTCACAAATGCCATAGTTTTGACTTTGCATTGGAAACCTTGGAAACTTTGAATGTTTAGCAGTGTCTGAAAAGACAGTCGTGTCCTTGAAGTTTTATTTGCAACAGGTAAAAGCCATTTCTCATCACTAATCAAATTCACATGTGGTGACTACTTCTCCAGGAGAACAACGTGTATTTCTTCTCTCAACTAATTTATATTGGCTGACCTCCTTACCATTCGACAGCCATCTAACATCTGTATGTAAAAGTAGATGCATGTGCTGCAATCCCATTTTGGCACACACACTCAGATTCAATGGTTGTGGGCACTGCCTTTATTAAAGTTTACAGTTTTAAAAACGTTTTTCATTACCAGTTGCATCAAGCAATGTCCTGGGCTGCTGCATACTTAATCCTTTTAATAGCGCAGCTGTTTTTCCCTGTCATGGAGGCTGCCCCATTTCTTGTTACACCTTTTTAGTTAGTCAAGTCTAGCCCATGATTTATGTAAGAGTTTATCTGTTCAATCATCTGTTTGCTTATTGTACTGGAGGGCAGTACCAAGCAGCAAAGAAAAACCTCAACAAATTTGCTTTGCCAAATATACATCAGCACTGTAGCACATGCAGCAATGAAGCTTTTTTCTTTCATGACACAGTAAGTAATTTTGTATGATACTAAATTCAATTTGTCACTCTTTGACAGTGAATGACTCCTGAGCTGATATTTTAAATCCTTGAGCCTTTCTCTAAAAAAATAACAAAGGTTTATCTGCTGTATAAGCTTTTTGTGCTTCCACCTGCATACTCTTTTAATTGTTAGTGGAGCCACTGGTTTACTCTCTTTTTATTTTAAAAGAACATTTCAGTGGTACTGATTGTGATAGTCCTATATATTAACTAAGTTTGTTCACACAACAATCTGTTAATTTACACAACTGTTTATTTCAAGTATGGTGGGCTTAAAAAAGCTAGTTTAGACAACTTTAAACATAATTAGTAGAACTTTTACTACTACTTTTACTAAATTTACTATGTTGTATAGGTTTAATTCAAGTAAGTCCATAAAATATTTTTCAAGTCATTATCTAATCAAATAAACATTGTTCAAAACAGTCTACTAAAAAATGAGAAATATATTTTTTGTTTGGCGTGACTTTTTTTATTGACAATTCACACTATTTCCGTTCAGATCAATAATGTGGAAAGCTCAGGGGTCTACTGTAGAACACCCATACCAGTGCCACTGACAGTAATGCACACTTACACAGTACAATTACACTTCCTGTTGATTGACAGTGTGGGTTCAAGAATGTCATCACATCACACCATATAACTTTTGAACCAACTTAATTGGCTAAAATAGATAAAGTGTGAAAACAAGGAAAAGGTGTTAAAATTCCCAACTATAAACCGTAAAAGACTTTTGGAACATAAATTCAGTCAGGAACCTTGGCCGTTGCATCCTTGCAACAGCTTTACAAGGTATTGATTGCAATGTGCTAAAGTGAATTGAAGAGCAAGTGCTAGGAAAAAGGTAAATGCATTACGTGCCATTGTCGCTAGTGACAAATCTGACAATTTAACCTTAATTCTTGATACAAATACAGCTTGGTTTGTCTACAAAACTGAAAATACAAACTGTGGTTTGGAGCACAAATGTACAGTAGCAATTCAGCTTCAATTCAGAACCAGAATAGTTAACGCATGTCAGGTTGGAGGAAAAAAAAAACATTTTTTCTCAATGACATTTTTTTTCAAAATCTCCAAAAAAAATTGCGGTTACTGAATTAAGCAATCATTGCTAGACTTGCATAACATCAGACTAATGAAGAAATATATACATATTTATGTCCACAAACATATAGTAGTGCACAGAAAAAGAAATCACATTATTAAATTGTTTCACATTATGAAGAATTTAGGAAACTTTGCTAAACAGGGAATTACAAGAAAAGACTGAAGCAAGAAGACCGATTTAGCAGACTTTTTACATAATGGACCAAAAAGAAAAAATATTTAAAAGGGATTAGAGGTTAAGTTTCTACCTATTATAACACCAACAAAGTTTTTCTAACTCAGTAACCTATTCTTGAGTGTGTGGACTCTTGCAGTGTAGGAATCTACTCCAATGCCCATGAACAGATGCTGAATCACCTCCAAGGTATATTTGACTTCTTTGGAGTAGTTCACGCTCATTACATAGAGCAGCCCCATCAAGTTCATAAAAGCATTTGGTACATCACCAAGATTACGAAGGACAACTTGGTCTTCGATCACCAAGGCCACATCACTGCAGATCACTGGGAGTGGTTCCTTCACACCCTCTGCAAGGATTCCAATAGTCATTCTGTTGATGACATCATCCTCATGATCAAAGGGCTTTATAAAAACAAAAACACAAACTGTGCTTAGGTTTTAGAAGGTGCTTGCACACACAATACTCCAAAAGACAGATTCACGAATAATATCTCCTATTTTTAGTATAGTTTTGTTTGAACTGTTCATGCAGTTTTAGCATACCTCACACATCTTCATGAATTTGGAGGGATCTCTCTCATGTACCACAGCAGAGCCTGCAGCACCACTGCCCCCTTCCTTTGGTTTGATGCCTGCCAAAAAAAACAAAAAACAAAACAAACAAAAATGCATAAAAACAATTGTTAAAAAAAATTAAAATCTTAGCTTTAACTGTTGTGTTATTGGATCCTGCACCATCTTTGTCAAGGCTCTCCAGTACGGCAGTCATTTCTGTCATTCCTCCAAAATGTTTTGACTAGTACAACTGAAAAAGCTTCAGAAGATGGCAGTCAAGGCCCCCCCATAAAAGGACTTGCTAAGGTCCATAGACACAAGCCTAGTGAATTCCATGCTGATCTACTTGAAATATGAGATCACATAACACGCTTACTATAACATAGAGCTGAATAATATGACAATATTTACCATTATTGTGAAAATTCCCCCACAATATGCCTTTCGGAATATGTTGTGGATGTCATCAGTACTTAAAAACACTTCCCAAATACATGTTTAATTAAAGAGAGCATAATTAGTTCTACTTAACTGGGTTAACAACACAGTGTATAAAATGCTGAATAGTTCTGGATAGTATTTTTTTAAATGTGCTGTTACTGTTCAAACTTTTCAAATATGAGAAAAAATCTTGTCACCTACTGTGAATCGTAAAAACTTTATTATTATTATTATTATTATTATTATTATTATTGTTGTTGTATTATTACATTTGTGCCATATCACCCACATCTGCTATAACATTTCTTTACAATCCAAGCATTTATTTTTAAACAAAAAAACAAACCTGTCTCAGTGAAAAGAATACACAGATCAGGCATAACATTATGACCACTGACAGGTGAAGTGAATAACACTGATTATCTCTTCATCACAGCACCTGTTAGTGGGTGGAATATATTAGGCAGCAAGTGAACATTTTATCCTTAAAGTTGATGTATTAGAAGCAGGAAAAATGGGCAAGCGTACGGATTTAGGTAAGATTGACAAGGGCCAAATTGTGATGGCTAGATGCCTGGGTCAGCGCATCTCCAAATCTGCACCTCTTTTTGGGTGTTCCCGGTCTGCAGTGGTCAGTATCTATCAAAAAGAGGACAAGGATGGAACAGTGGTAAACGAGAGACAGGGTTATGGGTGGCCAAGGT